ATGCTGATCAATACGTTTCTGGACACGGAAGATTTCGTGCATTTATATTACCCCGAGGATGAGCCACCCGCGGCCCAAGGTTGTGCAGCCGGGGCCCGAATGGCATCCAAGTACCCGAGGCCGCCTTCGCCGGACTATAAGGAGGTAATAATGGAGAGATCCATGTTGAAGCAGACATTACAACAATTGCGTAGAATTAATAAACCAGAATCAAACCTGGTTCTGAACATACGTGAATCTTATGTAAAATTATTCGTCTATATTTTTCGTATGCTAAATATTTACGACCTTCATTTAAGAAGGAAGGTTTTGCTCATCGTTACCTTGCATAGTGCACAGCGTGACCCACTCATGAGTCGTGATGGTGCGTCCTTGTCCATCTTTGAACCTTTCAAATTTACATTGAATAAACCAACATTGTAGATGTTTTTACTAAATAATGCATACTTATTTCATTTATTTTCGTTAGTGAAGTCACATTTAAGACCCTTAGCATATTCTCTACTGATATGAAAAAACGTATGGAATTCTGCTTGCATACCACGCCAATGACATAACTAGTACATATACTATTAAAATACTTTGAAAGATAAGAATACAGGTCAGTGATGAAATATATAGTTTTGTTTTTTATTCCGCTTATCAGTTGAATGGAGTGAATTGGAAATAGATATTTAGATTGAGTAAAATAAGTGTTGGCCTAGTGGCTTTAGTGTGCGACTCTCATTCCTGGCTGTTCACCATTGGACTTTCTATGTGCGCCCAAAAAGTCGACGGCGTGTGTCAGCCATAGGAGACTATCACCAACTTTCCTACTAGATTGACAAATGATCATGAAACAGATGCATAAAGTAGTTATAGCGTAACTGATTTATTTTTTAAATAAGTCTCCCCTGTTAATGTAATTTTACGTAATTAGTTGCAAATTACAAACGACCTCCATTACAGAGTTTCGTGCGACGACAGTTATTAACAAAAAATGTTTAGTATTACTTGCTACTTTTGAATTTATCTACTACGTTCTTTAGCCTTGTGTAATTTTTAACAGATAAGATTTTTCTTTAATTCTTTCCTTGTTAGTACACATCTAAATACGGCAAGAATAAATTTGTAATATTTATGGGATTTCATTTCATATATTTTATTTGAGATATATGTGATATATGTAGAGATTTTTTAACCAAGGTGGTAATGATTCGCATCCCCTGCACCAGGAGCGACAGGGGTATGTGAAACTAGACTCACACCAGCCACTCTACCACACAGAGAGCCGGGTGAGATTCACCTGGTAATTAGCTTACGAATATCAGGAATTGAGAGTGAATCAAATAATATGAACGTGACCTTCTCATGAGATTATTGAACGATGTGCAGAGGAAATCTTATAAATTCATTAAAGCTAATTGACCTGGAAACGGGTTTGATTGCTGCACAAAGAACAGACAAAGGTTAAATGAAGATGTATTACTTTCGTGTTATTGAATCCCTCGAGATACAGGACATTAATATAAATTTGCTGCTCTTGCTTGGTCACCGCCATAGTTGTGGTCGACCAATGCTTAACGATATATTACTGAAACAAATACAGTTACCCTCCATAACGTAATGGACCCGGAGCTCGTTTAATAGGAAATCGCGTTGTAGGAGTATTCTCGTAAATTTTGTTGACCAATCAAAAACTAGGAACATGAATTTAACAAAGTTATTTATATAACAACACAATTGAAACTGTGGTACGTAGAACTAATTTTGGTTAAATCATTATAGAGGGGAAATACCGCGTTATATGGGAGACAATAGGGAGGGATAACTGTATTTAATTAACGGTCGTATTTAAGGTTACAAATGCAGTACAATGAGCACTGTTGCACCAGTGAACTGAGTCATCGCTTGAGCATGTTTACGTGACTGAATGACTCCCGGCTCCCGTCATTGTTGTGGTCACTCTTTGTCAAATGGTTCGTAAATTGCTCCTAATCATCTCATAGTAACTGTACAATGTGTGCTTTAAGGCCCTATTCCAGCACGAATTGCTGTCTCAGTGTCTCGGGGTGGACTGCGGGGCGCAGTGTAGAGCTGGAGCACTGAGGCGCGCCGTTCCGTAATAACAATTAGTTATGTAAAACATTAAATTAATGTTATTTTATCTGAAATGGATTTCTTGGCTTGCGATAAAATATATCGTGTAAATTTCAAAATCATGTTCTATGTACATTTTCGTCATGAAATGAATTCAAAGTGTCAAAAATTGGCTATGTTTGGATTTTTTTATATCGAGCGAAGTTATTTAAATCGTGTATCGATCTTTTAAACTGGATACATAAACTACTCAAATCCACTATATATTTTTTCCATTAGAGAAGTAGGGCACTTCAAGAAACGATGACAAAAAATGGAAAGAAACAATGTACTTTTTTGGAGTTTGGCGACCGGATAGGTCCTTAAGCAGAACTGTCATTTCTGAAGAACCTTTACGTTTATTATGCTAAATGGCTTTGCGTCAAAAGAATAAAAACGGTAATTATGTAACGAGGTCGTTTTTTATCGGCTCAGCTGTTTCGATAAATATTTATTAAAATATTGTAAATTAAAGTGGAGCCGAGTATGTCATAGATTTGCTTGTTAAGGTTTCCCACGGTCAAAAAACCCAAACATTCTGATTTACGATGAATATTTGTGCTTAAAGTGGCCTTCAATCAATTCTGTTTGTAGAAATCCCGTGACTCAACTCCGTGGAGTATAAAAGCGTTGCGCCAGATGCTCGACACGACATCGCTTCTGCTATTTGATTTACAGCTCTATTACGAATGGATAGAATACAGAATTAATTGCACGACGCTCTGCCATTGAGAATATTGCTCATTAATACCCGTATACTATTGTTCACGATGAGTATAATAATAATTGTTATTAGACTTCTTTAGGTTAAAAATGGCGCCTAAATACTTTCTCACGTAATGCGATTTATTAGTTAACACGTATTTTCACTAGATCTTAAAAGACGTCTCTATAAATATGTTTACCTTAGCCGTTACTTAAATTAAATTATTTTAGTAATGACCCTAATAAAACTTGGCATACACTTGTTATACCCCTGACATGTCCATGCTGTCCTTAGCCTAAAAAGCCTCGAAACGCGGATGTTATGACATTGTTGGCGACCTCAATTCACTTTCATCAAAACAATTCTATGAACCTTATTACCGATATTAACTTGGCAATGTGATAATGTATATCACATACAAAATATAAAATTTACTTTTTAAACTTAATTTTAGTTGAGAAGTAAATATTCAGACTGTTCTGTAATCAAACACGCAAACGCAACACACGAATAAAAAACACGCAATTCAACTTGGTGCAGCCTGGAACTGTGTCAACAAAACATGTTGAAAGTTAAGCACTATTGTGTGAATAACAATTGACAGTTGAATAGTTTGCACCAAACCCAAACATCCGGGACGAGAAACCCTTTGGCACACTTTTTAAGGTCTATAGAAAAGTTCTCAAAGCACGTTACGCCATTGAGGGCTCGCCTGGCCCGCTTCCGTGCTTGCCCAACCGACAGCCGACACGTTGCGTCCTTGCGAGTACAACGCGGCCCCCACTACTGTGACGTTGCTTCACAATATGTACTACGTTGGTACTACGCTTGTCTTGTAACGCGAAACGCGATTAGATTTCGAGATATGAATCAGTTGTGTGATACACGCTTATTGTTCGATAAAATAATATCAATATTGTGGCTCATCCTTTCCAATATTAGATCCTTACGTATATGAAATTAGCGTTTTGTATGGGAGCAACAAAAAGTAGATTTTTTAATAGAATGTATTTAATTGATCTAAGTATCTACCATTATTATCTATGCACTTTTGCCATCTTATAGGACGAAAATCAATTTTTGAAGGCGGTTTCGACTGCCCCATCAAACTTGAATTTTTTACCATGCCAAGAAGTTACCCAAATTTCTAAAAAAATGGGACTAGGTTCGGGGAGTACGGTGGATGTCTTAGACATGCCAATTGAAGCTCCTCTAATTTGGTAGCAGTCTGTTGTGCAGTGTGTGGTCTAGCGTTATCGTGAAGCAGCAGTGGCCTAAAGCGATTGACCAGCCTTGTTTGTTTAGCAGCTAGCTTTTCCATCATGGTTTGCAGTTGCTGACAATAGACATCTGCCGTAACCCTCTGGCCAGATTTAAGAAATTTAAGTAACCGACCTCGGTACTAGTCCACCAAACGTTTACAAGTAACTTTTTTTTCAGGTCAAAGTAGCCAGTACTACTAATAAATACTAATACATAATAAGCTTGCGGGATCTGAAATATAAAATAATGGGCGTATACATTTATACTGATTGACGTGTTTATACCATCTGGCTCGTCTAGACGACTGGGTGAGATCATTTGTCAGCCATCGGCTGAACCAACAAATATATGCAAAGGCAAATAGGAAAAAATCCTTATTGATTAATATAACTTAATCTTGCTTAAGGAAAAATTATATAATCCACCTAACGTGAAGTTAATTTCTTATTTGTTTCGTTAATGGCTAATTTTCAGATTATTTATAAATACAAAAGCTTTATTGATTCAAAGAGCTTCTTCGGCGATAACAAAATATAATACGACCATTGGACTACTAATCAAGTTGAAGTCTGAGCCCCCTCAGCGGATACAGTTTAAATGATAAATTCATCCGTACACTTGATACATCGAAATCTGATCACTAACTCCGAGAGATCTGATGCAAAACCAAATACTTAAAAAGTATTGGACAATGAAACCCTTAGAAAATATACTACATAGTATTGTCTTTGATTAACATAACCTTTACACATTTAAAGAAAAAACTTTTTAACCGGATTAAAGTTATGTTTTATACATTTACAATTATTTAACATAATTTTAAATTTATCCGACGTTTCGCGTGCTTTACAGCGTGCGTGGTCACGGTGACCGTGAAATATATATATAAATACATAACTTTAATCCGGTTAAAAAGTTTTTTCTTTAAATATACTACAAGCCTAATAGGTAAAATGCGTTCGACGCATAACTTACAGTTTTTGTCTCTGCCACTATAAATATAAATTAACTGTCGACTAAATGTTAACATATTCTAGAACGCTCCAAGCACCTCGGGCCGCTTTTTATGGACACAAAATAGTTAAAAGGTTAATGATCTCACACTGTTTAACGTAACCGAACAAATAAATAGTTTAGCGCTTACAAGTATATTAGAACCTACTTGTGTCGAAATTAATAAGTCGGTTTATTTTCGGACCATTCGCGCTGACGATAATTATGACGCGCTGATGTTTATTAGATATAGATAGACTTTATTATGAAATCTTAATAAAGTTGACTCAAGTGATTATTATTCCTATCGATTCTTTAAAGGAGATAAGTAATAAACATGAAACGCTTTCAAGGTAAATTGTGCACCGGGAAGTAGATAACAGGTAATGGCACTCGTAAAACACAGCCAATCTCGGCTATATAGTCTATACTATGTCGGTTTAGGAATGTATAAATTATTAAAAACAACTTCCGGAAAGGAAAAAAGAACTGAATATAAACGTTGCTGCTCATTTTAAATGTCTCGTGTTAAAGAAAGCCTACTCCCGTTTGAGTCACGTATAGCCTTTAACTGGAAGCCTTTTTTGGCTCGTACTTGTAGGGTGAATGCGCCGGTGCCGGTGGGCGGCGCCGCCCACTGGCCTTTGTAAGGCTTTGTCGTAATGGATGTGCGGCGAATGACTTTCAGATAAATCACGTCTTGTGGTCACTATTTTTGCCTAAAAGCATTATTTGCAAACTCGGAAACGTACTTAAATCTAAAATATGTTTAAATGAAACCTGTTTTTTTTTGTGGTAACTTGTACAAATCGACGTATAAAAGTTTTTGTGTGCGTGACGTAAACTCAAACAAGTTTTCGTAACTACTGTGATCAAGCTTCAAGTGTTTGATTATAAACAAATATGGCCCCAGTGAATGATTCAGAGAATAATGATTATAAAATTGTACGATAGTTACGGTGGTAGTTATGTAGTATGCGCCGGCGCCTTGTTGCGTCACTGCGTCGGAATGTTACGTTGGTTAGGGTAGAAAGTCAGTCTTTGATGGTTATAAATAGATCGTTGATGTTTCCCTTTTGTGTTGTTCATTTGTATAATGATCTCAATATTTAAGCAGTCGATACACAGATGGTGTATTTCATCTTATAGACTCAACTATATCTTAAAACTATTATTTACGTATAATATAAGACATAGACAACATTTATTACTAACAAAACACACACACATATGATAACAATAATCAAAGGAAAAAGAAAATGGAATGAGAGATATCAAAAATAATGTTTTCCCTTTCGGTTCGTTTCAAGTGTGTAATGCGTGTGTGCTGAGGTTGTAATTGGCACTGGCTCAGCATTATGCTGAGGAGCAAGATATAAGACATGTTTATATCTTGATAAGGCAGTGCGTGTCTATGAGCACCGTTAAACATCAGATGAGCCTCCTGTCTCTTTTGCCCCCTGTTCTGTAAATAAATATAAAGCCTACTTGCAAAATACATTTACGACAGGTAAAAAACTATTTCGAGATGTTAAATTTTTTTGTTTGTAACATGATAATACAATGTTAACGACTGCCATACATTGATGTTAGTTTTATATCCCACCGATTCCTTTCTTAGTCTCGGCACCGGCAATGAGCAAGCAGATTTCAGTAACAGTCCGTGGGAGCAGTGAGTCACATTTATCGGTGGTTTTACTTTTGTTTGTGGGAAGTCTATGAATGAACGCATGCTGCTCTTTGTTTGTAGGGATGAGCCTTAACTGAACCAGATTATATACAAAATCAGAGCCGGTTTTAGCGGGAAAGATCGGCGATGACGGCGTATTACCTATTAAGATCTCTGTAATATATACGTTAACGTGATACTTATGTATAAAATAACTAAGGTTTAGTATAAAACTAACAATATTTGGGTTATATACAAATATTTAATTCTTTTATATTTTATAAATATGTAATAACTGGCATGTTTCAACTTCCACATTACACCGTGAGAAAATTCCTCTTGGGAGTTTATTCTTTGTTACCAAATGAATCATTTTCACAGGCTACTTATATGGTAATCGCAAAACGTAAGCCGGCTAATAAACCCACCATTAACAATATTTAAACCTTACATCCACTCCTACGCAGATGTCTGTTAGCTTTCTTGAAGAAAAAAATTTCTGTTTGAATTTAAGTATCATTTAGCAAGTTCCAACATCCAAGATTGACCATTGCTCTAATCACGTCGCACGGCACATGGAATGCACTTGCACATAAATGCGTTGTAACGCAATGCATGTTTATTTTTCTTTTAATTATGTCAAGTGCAGTGTATTTATCGATGGCCGTCCAAAGAACGGACTTTGAAACAGAGAAAGGTAGTGTTTTCTCTCTGTCGCGATATCTTGAACTATTTCGGTGTGCAATATCAGTTGAAGTATAACTTGAAGTCGCGCAAGACTCTTTGTGTTCAATATTTGTTGTGTGCTTCCAAAATTAGTTGAATGCCCTCCTGCGGCTGTTAATGTTTGACGATTGTGATTTGCGTGTTGTGCTTAAAATGGAACGCAAAAATTTGCGTGTTTTCTTTACTAAGGTCCTTCTGTAATATTATATATAAAACTATAAGATAAGGTTTAAAAGATTACGATGAAATCCTTATAATGCAAATTAAAAAAACTATACAAGTTTTTGTTTTAGAGCAGTGTTGGCCTAGTGGCTTCAGCGTGCGACTCTCATACCTGAGTTCGTAGGTTCGATGCCCGGCTGTGCACCAATGGACTTTCTTTCTATGTGCGCATTTAATATTTGCTCGAACGCTGAAGGAAAACATCGCGAGGAAACCGACATGTCTTAAACCCAAAAAGTCGACGGCGGCTTGCCTATTAGATTTAAAATGATCATGAAACAGATTCAGAAATCAGAGGCCAAGACCTAGAGGTTGTAGCGCCACTGATTGATGTTTTTGTTATTTGCCTCTAGAATAATTATATTTTGTGATAATAATAAGCAAGAAGCAAAACTTATTCAACCTCATTCTAATAACACAAGGTATTATTAATAAATTATTGTTGAGATTATTAAGAATATCCATAGCACTAAATCACCTGCATCATGAGCACACCCCACATACCCTCACTTTCACAACATCACACATCACAGTCCAATTAGGTGTTCGTATTCAATAATTTCCTTTCGTAAATATTTAGTTCAATTGTTTTTTTTGTTGTATATAATTTATGTTAGCTGTAGGATTACGAAATAAATAAACAAAGATAATACTAAATATTTATGAGATTAAAATGCTAAAATTTGATTACAGGTATCGACGCTAACGGCGACGTGCGACATGAGCGAGCGGGACCGTGAGCGGCGCGGCGCGCCGCCCGAGCCGCCGCCGCATCGTGTACGCGCTGCTGACTTGTACCCGCGCACGCGCACGCATTACGACGAGCCCGGCCTAGAGCCTGCGCTTGCGCCAATATGTGGCGAGTTTGTTCAGGTAAACCAAAACGTACACATACATAACATACTTTGACATTTCCAAATAACAAATACTTACGATGTAATCATAAAAAATGAGATAAGACATTAATTATTGTGTATACAGACAATACCGATGTTAATATTATATTTTATTACGATCTTCGCTAGGCAGTTTTGCTTCTTTCTTTCTTATTTACAAAAATGATCATGTTCTTCTAAAGTAGGGAAATCCTGCTATAAATTATAGGTTGACGTGGCTAATGTCTAATTTAAATGATAATGTTTAAGAATTATTTGAAAGCTAAGTTAATAGTGCATTGTGTATACGCACAAACGCGGTAAAGGTTTTGAATAATTATCCCATTTAGCGCACGAACATTTACGTAATAATCAAGTTATTTTACTAAAACTGTCCAAATTGTAACCAGAATCCAATGTGGAATTCTTACAAATAAAATGTGCACTTGTCGGTGTTTGTAAAAGTAAACATTATTTTAAGAAGTACCAGGCGATAATAAATCGTGTAATTTCAGTGGGTGGGACGTACATCAGATGGCACGATCGCGATGTCCAACTACCGGCTTCACCTACACACGCGTCGCCGCGGCGGCTCCGGCCTCTCGGTGCCTCTGAGGCTCATCGACGTGGTCGAGATCCGGGATCTGATCACGCTAATCATTTTGTGCAAACATGGAAGACAGCTCAAGTGAGTATTGAGAATGGGTTTACGCGTCTGCCATATCCGAGTCATTTATGACTCGCTATCGTAATAGTATTAATAATAATGAATATAACACGTGCCGAAACAATTACAGTAATTGTTCTAAATGTATGCTTCCAGCGGATAGTGATAACATTCGCCCGAATGGGGCTATTGACTGATAGGCTCACAATAAATAAAGAAAGTATTGTAGAATTTCCTCAACAAATTGATAACAAATAGTTATTTCATATTCGCCATCTTTGCCGACAAATGCGACCTAGAAACCCGATATATCAATGTTACTGTTTTAGTAACGAAATTAATGAAATATATCATAGATTCCAGGTCCGTTACTCGAGCCGAGCTGAGCAAACGGCCGTCTCATTAGTACTTGGGGACACAAATATTTATGACCGAAAGTGTGTTGTTCAAATATATTTCCTCTGCAGGCCGATGTTTACCTATTGGCTCAACAGCATTACTAACGCCCGATTAGCACTCGTTACATTCGAAATATTTCTATCTCTAAATGGAAGGGAATAGTCGGATATATTTGTTACGTGTAGTGAATAAATGTAATTTAAAAATAAAATATTGTTTTAGATGTACGTTCAACGCGAGTGAACAATGTCTGGAATGGTGGAGGCGCCTGAGCACATCCCTGGCCCCCATCACTTCTCTGCAGGATATCTTCGCGGCTTCCTACGCCGCCTGGGCGAAAGAGCAGCCGCCTTCCTCCGTGCACAGAGCGTTACTGAACGCCTCCCAAGCGCCCCATCAGAGACATTGGTTCGGCTGCGAGGTAAACATCTATTCCGCTTGTCTGTTCCCATTAACGAGGAAAAAATTATAATTAAAAGGTGCCTCCGTCAGCTCTCATAATTCATAATGAAGGTTTGCGTTCGCAGTTGGAGCGATTAGGATTCACGACGAAGGGTCCGTGGCGCGTGTCCGCCGTCAACGCGGAGTACAAACTCTGCCCCTCCTACCCTCCGCTGCTCATCGTGCCCGCTTCCATCGGAGACGAGCAGCTCGAGGCCGTGGCCAGGTGAACCTTCCCTTCCTCGCTTTAATGGGCCACTTACAAAGCCGGGTGGACCTCGCCCTTACCCTGCAGTTGCTCCTCCGCAGGTTCCGCACAATGCGACGTATTCCCGCCGTGGTGTGGCGTCACAGGAAGACGGGGGCCGTGATCGCTCGCTCTTCGCAGCCCGAGGTGGGCTGGTTCGGATGGCGCTCCGGGGACGACGAAGGCCTCCTGGCCGCCTTCGTCGGCGCCTGCGATGCGGATCGCACTACTCCCAAAAAGGTATTCGGGGGTGTTCCGAGCGCACAGAGTGCGGCCGATGCGCAATCGGCTACCGTCGGCGATGTTCCATGGCGTGTTTTCGTTCCAGCCCCGAAGACTGCTAATAGTGGACGCGCGGTCGTTCACGTCCGCGGTGACGAACCGGGCTCGGGGCGGAGGCTGCGAGTGCGCCCAGTACTACCCTCTGGCCGACATTCAGTTCATGAGCCTCCCCAACATACACCACGTGCGCAAGAGTTTCCAGCAGATGAGGGACCTCATCGCGGACAACGATCAGCCCAAGTGAGTTTTCTCTCCTCTTCCCGACGCACCCTGCCGCGTATGGCCGTTTCTGTCCGAATCGAGAACAAATACGATTATGATATTCCAGCTGGCACAGCGCTCTGGAGCGCACCCTGTGGCTGCAGTACCTGTCGGGGCTGCTGAGAGCGGCGTGCACGGTGGCCCGAGCGGCGGCCGACGGACAGCCCGTTCTCGTTCACTGTTCGGACGGCTGGGACCGCACGCCGCAGCTCGTGGCTCTGGCCCAGCTGCTCCTGGACCCCTATTACCGCACCCTGGAGGTACTCTATCTGCGTTCCCGTGTCCCGACCGGATCGCGCCGATGCTCATTTTTAAATCGTGACCTTCGCAGGGTTTCCGCACCCTCGTCGAACGGGAGTGGCTGGACTACGGCCACAAGTTCGCCGAACGATGCGGGCACCAAGTGGGCGGAGAGGACCCCAACGAGAGATCTCCCGTCTTCGTCCAATGGTTGCATCTCGTCCACCAACTCATGTCGCAGTTTCCCGTCGCCTTTCAGTTCAACGAGGCCTATCTCGTGGGTATTTCCTTCATACAGTTTCCATAGATGTGGATTAGTGAAGGGAACGACGCGATTCCTGAAAATGGACGATTTCCAGATAAAGCTCGCCACTCACGTGCACTCGTGCATGTTCGGCACCTTCCTGTGCAACAACCGTCGTGAGCGCGCCTCGGCCGGAGACCCCGGCCCGCACGTGTGGCATCTGCTCGAGGCCCCCGCCTACCGGAACCATCTCTACTTCCGCGACCAGGAGGAGCTGTGGCCCGAGTGCAGCGTGAGCGGGCTGCAGATCTGGTGGGGGCTGTGGGGGGGAGGAGGCGCCCACGAGCCTCCGCCCGCCTCGCCCACGCCGCCCAGGCCCGCGCCGCCCCCGCACAACGGTAGCCGCCGCTTCGCCTTCTCTCTCTTCTTCCGATTTAGAAAATTTACTGAACGTTGTCTGTAAATTCAGGTGTCATGACGAAGACGCGTTCGTGCGACAACCTGCTGAACGAAGGCGAGAAGAGAACTGCGCAGCGCCGCAACAGCGATCCCAGCCTCGCACCCGACGCGTGAGTCTTCCGGCTTCTCGAACGCTCGTTGCGAGAGTGAGAGAGTGTTCGGAAACTCAATTTTATTTAATTTCACAGAAAGCTACTGATGCTGAACGGGAGACCGGAGGAAGACAAAGTCGCCACAGAGTGTGAGAAAGCGTTGTCGGATAGCTGCGTGGACTCTCTGCCTCCCTCGGAGCCCCCCGCGACCCATCTGACGCTGGATTTGCAGCAGGAAGAGGTGAATATTTTGATTTAGTTGTAAAAGACGACCCAAGTGCGGCTGCCCGACACCTCTAAAGAATCCGTGTCGATATTCGACAGGTGCAGTTACACGCGAACCACTTCCATCCACCACCGAGAGACATCGCCAGCAACTCTTCCTCGTTGGAGCGGGAACTGTCTCTGGTCCCCGACAAGGTCGACTCCGGCTCCGTCCTCGACGGCGTCGCGCCCGGCCTCGGGCCTGACGTCGCGGTCGACGTCACCGACGGTGGGTCGCCGGACACGGTCGACAGGGACGTGTTCGACCTCTACGCGGATGTCATCGAAATAGCGGATGTCAGTTTGGCGTTTTTCTTACTTCTTTTCTTACTCGAGTTCTCTTACTTGATTTCGGACGTTGACCTTTTCAATTCTCAATTTCAGACCTCTAGAGAAGCCCGGACGCGGAACATAAGCATCACGTGGCGGTCCATATCCGAATCTAGCAACCAGTCGTCGAACGGTTTCGATATTCCGGAAAACTCGCCACAGAACAGACTGGAACCCGTCGCGGCCCGACTGGAGAGAGCGATCGACAACAGGAGCTCGTCCGAGAGAGACACTTCCCCGGACGACAGAATATCGTCCGACAGAGACGGGCCGGTCGCGGACGACCACGACTCCACGGAGGCCGACATAGCGAACCATAACGTCGTGAACGGCAACACCAATCACAACCGGGAAGGTGTTGGCAACGGAGACGCGAACGGAATCGTGAACGTCGCGGCCAAGTTTCTGGAAGTGGAATTGAATGGTAAGTGTTTTCCTATCTTTGAACATACGACAAATAGTCGAAGTCCGTAGACTGATGATAGACCGTGCGGCAGGCGCGGTGTCGTCGAGCTCCGAGAGCGAGGGCGAGGGGCGAGCGCGAGAGGAGAGCCGCGCCGGCCGCGTGCCCAGCCAGCTCACGCTGTGTCCCGCTTCGCCCGGGCGGACCTACTGCCGCTGCGGATCGGGTACGACGCGAGCGCCGGGCCCCGAGACATCGCTCGGAGGGAACGAGAGTTTCGATCGCTCATTCGAGTGCTTCCCGTTCCCAGAGTCGGTGCCGAACGGCGTGTGCTGGTGCGGCGTGTGCGGCACGGGGACGGCGGGGGTTGCCGGGGGCTGCGTGTGCGGGGAGGGGGCGGAGAGGGAGTCGCGGGGGGAGAGAGACTCGCTCGACGGCCTGCCCCCGGCTGACGACCCCCTGCAGGCCCGACTGCATCAGATCATCCTCTACCAGAAGGTCAGTATGGTGAATTCCTAGCCTTATTTATAGGCCTTCTCCAGGTTTTTCAAACGCTTCTACATCTCCTATCCACCGTTTTCTTGCGTGGCCTCTTCTATTCTTGATTGGTCCTTTCTAAGTTGTCTTTGAAGTCCATCTTCGTCTTCTGTGCATCCGCCGTATGCCTCCCCATTGCCACTTCTGTTTCAGTGCCCTAATGTGTGACGTCTAGAGTTTGGCTAATGAAAGAAGATAATTGAATTATTCGAAAACTTTCGGATGGCAACACAGCATGTCATTGAATTTCTTAGATTAGTATGATTTAGGCCCGGCGCCCATTATCGGCATCGGTACGACTGAGGATTTTAGGTGGCAAATAGCAATATACTATAACATAATGGCAATAAAGTAGAAACTTCCGTGATATGTGGTCGTAATAACAAAAATACCGCTTCGGTATGCTTGAGGCTGGTGTATCGGCAGCCCTGAGAATGCTTCGGGATGCTTCGTCATAACGCAATTCATTGAATAAATTGTTGAATTCACCGGACATATATCGTTGCTTGCAAAGGTTGTTCACCCAAAATCTTCTTGATTGATTAGATTTCTCTTCTTCTTCAGCAAGAGTTGCTATGAACATTAGATCCCAGTCCACCATATTAAATAATTCAGACAACTAGCTTGTAACAACTCTGAGACTGTTATGATAGAAATAGATATTGAGACGCTTCGGCAAGTAGAGGTCGATCTTAAGGACGATTCGTCATCCCTAAGAACGTTGCAGCATTCCAAAGCATAATTGCCGATAGTGTGCGCTTGCATGTAGGATGCCGAAGGATGCTTTTCCTTGCCGATGCCGATAATGGGCACCGGGCCTTATTGTCTTGATACTTCATGCAAGTACTCATTTTTATTTCTATTATATATTTTTTCCGAATAGTTAACAGGTATAATAGCCTAAACTTTGTTTTATTGATTTTTTGGATTCTGATTTTGATTATTCCGAAAAAGTTGTGTTTTATAATAAATATAGTTTTAGTTTTCCATGAATGCTAGTCATTTTTAAGTATCAATAGTAAAAAACTGTCAATATAAAAAATAATTAAATAAAATCAAGTAAGTTTAATCCACAAAATATATCAAACTTTTAGAGATACCATCCTTATCTTGAGAATTTGCCGCGCTTTTTCGTTATCTTCTTTCATTAGCCAGACTTTATAAACTTGTTTTTTGTATATTTCAGAAAGTGGTAGACGAGCTGAACGTACAGTTACGATCGGCTCACGAGGCTTTGAGGAGAGCGTCGCCGGCCGCCCACGCCCCGCCGCCCGCCCGGCATCGGCCGTCTACGCCCGAACCGCCCAAGGTCAGCTATCTATATACCGTCCCCCGGGTTCCGTCCCGTTTTATGCCTTTCGCCTTGCTAACGTGAACGCCCGCGCAGACGGCGATCGGCAGCAGCAGCGGGGGCAGCGGCAGCAGCAGCGGCAGCGCCTCGGAGGTCGAGGTGGGGGAGGAGGCGAACGGCGTGCTCTGGCTGCCGGACAGTGCGGCGCCTCGTTGCCAGCATTGCCGCAACCAGTTCTGGCTCGCGAGGCGGCGCCACCACTGCAGGTGCGACCCGAGCCGGCGCCGGGCCCCCCGACTCGTCGGACTCATCTCACGAGAGAATATTTGTATTTCAGGCGTTGCGGAGGCATCTTCTGCGGGTCCTGTTCGGAGATGAGCTCGTGGGGCGACGTGGGGTCGGTGCGCGTGTGTCGCCGATGCCGCGCCCTCAGGTGACCCGCCGGCCGGTCCCGCATCACCGTTCACCTAGACGAGCGCAGTCCCGCCTGAGGCGCCTCCGTCCGCCGACTTCGACGTGACGCCTCTCGCCGCGAAGCCCTCGTCTCGGATCTCCCTCCCCGATACTCGATCGCTCCTAGTCGACGTCATCGCTCAGTGTCACGTGACCTCTCCCTGTCGTTTCGGGCGAGTGATGAAGACGAACGGTGGAGAGTGACTCCGACCTGGGTCATATATAAATAATTCGTCCTATTGATTATTAGAAAACGGCGAAAACGAAATACGAACGTAACGATTTGAATATATCGTTTTACCTCATTCGAAAGCAATAATAATAATAATCGATTACACGAGAGGGTGTAATTTTTTCAATTTTGTACAAATGTTTCGAGATAGCGTCGGGTCGTGACGAACTCGGACGTCGTCGAGTGTCGGATGGAAAGGGGGGAATTTCGTTTGAATATTAGTTAGTAATGATAGGGTCAGATTTGATAAAATGACAAAAATATTCCACTATTTGCATATAGAGTAACGTCCGTCGAAACACTTCACGTCGACCGGATTCGTAAAGAACCGACCGAGCCGTACATTAAATTATTAAATTCTCTGATGTTTGCCTCGACCCCCCAAATGAACTGAAAATCGGACGAACCGTTCTCGACGGAGTCTCTCCGTCCGCCGTTCGCGATACGAATAATCAGCCTCGGCGTTTAGGATAAAAGCGTCACCGGCGGCTCGTCCGGGAGCGACGTGCGACTCGCGGAAGGAGTCTTTCGGACGCGGAGACTGTTCGGCTCGAAATGATAAATTAATTTAGACAATCCGCGGAGGAAGTGGACGGGAGCCGGGAGCGTGGGGCTTCGGCGCCGCGAGGCCACTCGACTGATCTTGACACCGTGGCCCCGCCGCGCGATTCAATTATTACTAAAACAACTTAGTGACGATTTGTTTTCTTTTTGTACAAAAGATTTTTTTGTTGTTTAGTTTTGTAGTTATTATTTGTCCGTCCGTCGGACCCGAAGGGAGTCGTCGGTTCCGTTCGGATTCGATCGAAAGTAATAAATTGTAAATGAATTTCGCTCTGTACATTGCTTTACTTTAGGACGACCGAGGTGAAAATAAACTAATCGGTTAAACCGGCCGCGGCGTGGATTATATATTTTGTCGAGAATTTGCGATTATTTTATCGCTTTTTGTGATATTGACGATGATTTTGTATAATGTTAAAAGTTTAATAGGATGTTATTAGAGGTTAAATTTTACTGGTCATTATTTAAGCGTGCTCGTTGAGTTTATGTGAATTATAATTGTTGACGTTTTCGAAATGGCCCTGACCCCGAAAAATTGAACTTTCAAAAACATCATTATAATTAGAAGTAAAATCGGTACTCGTGATGATTCCCGTGATGTAATGAAGTATAAACGGAAACGGACGGGGCACTCGCCGCTTTATGTATAAATCACGTTAATTTATTTGTGAGCCTCGTGGGTCATCACTTGCATACATTCTATATTGTTAATGTAAACAAATCTCCGCGCGAATGCCCCCTTTGTCTCGATGTGACCAAGATATAATGACGAAATATGAAATAAAGCGTATTTAATTTTATAATTCTTTTATTGAAATTCTAAAGTCTAAATCTGGAGGCTTAATAATTAGGAGTAAAGTACCAGTTTTATTTTAGTTTAATCACAAAAAACTATAATATCGTCCAAGCGCACAAAGGCATTTTGAAACACCATAATGGCAATGATACACAGTACATAATAATGCCATATAATGCGTCCAATGTCCATCTTACTTTCATATATTACTCTTGAAATTGAGGATCTGGGAAATAAAATAACCAAAGATATCAGTAATTATTTTTAATGGTTTATGTTACAAGAAAATCACTAACTTATGACTACATTTAAACAAAATTTAGTACAAGGGTAAAGAAAATTCGATGATTTCTTCATTGGGGTCAATGTCTTAATTGTCTAATTTTTGAAAATTTATACAATAAACAGATAGGCCTACTTTTAGAATAAACACACAAGAAGAAAAACACAGATTTATTTAAAGCAGATGGTAGAGATTCTTATTTACAAAAATATTTCACCAAAAATGTGAATTTCAATAACTTAATTCTTAACTATATGGACATCATTACTAATATACATTTTGGCATTCCATTGGAATAATACTGATTTGCATTTCAACTATAAAAAACATAATGATAGAAAATTGATCTAACTATAGTTATGAGAAAATAGTTATTGTGTATATTCCAAGGTATCTAGTGGGGTCCAGATAAGTGTTTTGTTTTCGTTGTCAAATTTATAAAGCTTTAAAATTTCACAAAATGAAACATTTCTGAATAAAATATTTCCTCAAATTTACTAAAAACGTGAAACAATAGCAGCTCACAAACAGGAACTTCTCAAAATGGATCAAAGACAAATTTGTCAATAACCAGCAATTGTCTTAGACACACTTGTTTTAATATAATTTATATAAAGGTAGTAGTAGCAGGAGTCATTAAATCCATTCCATTTCCTCTTCATTTTAACAGTTTTTAGTTTAAAATTAAGATGGACACATCCTAAGGGTAGATGCACTGTAAACTTTGACTTATTAAAAATTGATGCTATAAAGATTATGATGTAAGAATGAACTAATAGGTCTGGTTGTGCGATTTCTCGTACTCCACAATCAAGTTAGCAACTCTTCTACGTACAGTGTCCAAGACTGCATACATATGAGGTGTAAACGGGTCAAAATCATTGTGCTTTTTTCTTCTGCGATAAATACCCTCCTTGTTTGCTAATGCACAGTCCATGGCCTCCTGAAAAATTATAATAACATTTACAACCAAAAAATTCATTCCTGTGTCTTACAATAAGTATAATATTTTCTTTCATTTTAAAAACATCCTAGATACCTCAGTTACACTTTGGTTGAGGAAGTCCAATACAGAGATTAATGTACTGCGAGTGTCTATCACTAGCCTCTCATATAGAACTATGTGCAGCGGACCAGAGAATCTGGTTAGCCATAAGCGGTGAGTACTCTCCCATGTCATCACCTCTGTGTCCACATATGATGTCCAATCTGTAAAGTAACATTGTGCCATTGATCAATAAATTCCTTTCAATTTATTAACTAGGCTGTACATATACATACATATACAATGTAACATATAAAAAAACCTTTCAATACAAAAATCAAGAACTATGTATTTAATTACATGTTTCACCTTATAGGATGTAGGTGAAATGTAGAGATACTCAATCCCCTAAGGAGACATTTATTTTATATATTTTATTGTAATATAACACTAAAAGTAGTTTAATTCACCAGAAATGTATCAAGAAATATGGAATTTATTGAAATACATACATATAAATTGAATAAAATTAAGCAAATCCAGGTGTCAATGTAATGTAGCTGTAACTAACCAGATTTTTGGTCCCTAGTCTTCCTTTTAAAGGCTGATTTAGGTGCCGTACCTATATGGCCTTTGTGAATTCTGTTAAAGTCCGCCTGAAATATTTAAACTAGTTATTATACATACAATAGATTATACACAACCATTCTGAATAATGATGATAATAAAAACAACATCTAACCTTAGGATCTCATTCAAATGCAGATCTTGTATTATATAAATGTGCATACATAGGTGTTAGGTGACAAAGCCTCATGTATAATGCAACACTGCAAATAAAAATAAAACAAAGCCTTTAAATGTCATAAAACTAAAATACAAAAGAAAATCTACTTAATGTAAAACAGTCACAGTTTATGTTAATGATGCAAATTAAAAAAACATTGTCATTTTTACTTATCTGTATGAAAAACATTTATATTCTAATAACAAAATAATTATTTTTATTAAGGCAACAATAATTGTTTATAACAAAAACAGAACCACTTACTAATATTGCATCTCTAGGATTCCTTATAAGTAATACTGCAGCTTGAAACTTTTTGTCAGGTGGAGGACCTTCATGAGTCTTAACAACAAGCACTGAACCATTAGTGACATTCTCTGCTGGGAAACCATGGACTTTCAGACCATAATCCATATAGATTGAACCAGTCATAATACCTACAAACATATGAACAAAATAATAATATTTAAACGTAAAATAACACTGCGCTCAAAAAAACTTTACATACCCGTAGCTTGTTGTAAGAGATACCTCAACCAGGTGTTTCCACTGCCTGGATAAGAGGCAAGAGCCACGACATTATAAGAAGGGGGCTTCCGCAGCTGCAGCTCTTTACACCAACTGACGCTCGACTGCCGCAATCCGAGGTGTACATAACTATTCCTATAGAATGATCTATTACTATACAGTGGGCTTAACATAAAAATAATAATAGAAAAGTGCATAAACACCACTACAGCTGCACATAAAAATATCCACTTTCTGGTCATTTTTTTTCACATTTTTGCCTACGTTTACAATGACGGTACAAGATCATGTGGATTTTTCCAAGTTTACAAGTAATATGTCGAAAAAAATAAATCGATTTTTTTAAATTTCTCAATCGAAAGTATTTAACCCCAAAGAAGAAGCAATTTGAAACTATAGATTATTTTTACTCTATGATTCGAAAATTGAAGCACAGACTGAATACTAAAATTGGAAGAGCCAATAAGAAGGAACGTGGGGGCCTCATAGCCTAGCGGTCTTATTAAGTGGCAGCTAGGTCATAGGTGAGGGGCAAGTTTTAATTTAATTTAAATTTGTTCTCGGCCTCTGGGAGGGTTGTGCGGTACCGGGCGAGTGCTTAAACCGTACATGAAGGACACGGTCGAATTTCTAAAGACCTATTTTTAAGACTATTCCTATACTTGACGCTGGCTAATGCACAAATCGTGCCAGAGCCATTAAAAAAAAAAAAAGGAGAAACGTAATTGAAAAAACTTCTACTATACAGAGCGTCCCAAAGTTATGGGACATGAAGGTAAAGTACCTTAAATATCTTAAATAGGGTATTTTACTGAAAAAAAGACTATGTTATTTTTAAAAGTTAGTACTTCTGCATTCAAAGATTTTCTAAAAATTACTTGCCTCGTCTGGGAATCGAACCAACTTAAATTAAAAAAAATAACAACCCTACATTTATGATGCCAATCGAAAGAATGGCCAAAAACTAATAACTCTTCTTAAATAACATAATATTATACAGTACTTACTACTATTCTAGAAAATTAAGGACCATGATAAAAATGTCTAGACAGAAAGGTTGCAGGTTGTTTTTGACGGGCATAAAAATAATATTAAAGGAATTATTGGAATACAATATATGTTTTAAAAACATATATTATATTAGTACATGAACATATTTAATGTACATTGCCACAGATTCGCAAGACTTTCTTCAATACTAACAACTAGATAAGCATCTTGCAAGTCAGTTGTTGGCACTGTTTTGTTGAAGATCAACGTCGGTTTCATCAAGCCACTCGGCGTCATCACGCGCACTACGTATAGAATCTCTCTTGATCTACGGATCGATCGGTTTTCTAAGCCGCTTTTCGGTTTAGAAATCACGCGTTTGACGAAAAAATAAGTACACGTGATATTTTACTATAGCCCCCCTCCACCTTGTGATATTTTGTGATTTTTAACCCCTCCCCCCACCCCTTTCGATCCTCACGTGATTAATGGACAGCCCCTTATAACCATAGCCACTTGTAAGTAACAAATCTATTGTTCAGGTATAGTGCGTTTTCCAATTACAGCACTAGAGCGCATTATGCGGCATAATGCTCAACGTTGAATGTTCCAACTACAGCAACGCTTCGCACAATTGAGCACTCTCAAAACGAATGCTCTCGCGTGCTTCTCGCAATAAATACCAACACAGTGACAGAAAATTGACCAGTATTTTTCTTTAAGGTGGCATTTATCGAAATTTTCGTTAGTAAATATTATTTATTGTTGAAAATTTTTTAAGGCTTTCGTTTCGTCGTAGATTTTGAAAATAATTAAAGATATTTCAAACTGCTAAAAAAAATAAATATAAGTATGGATGAAGGTATAAATAGTTACTTTTTTTATATTCCACATTTAAAATAAGAATACAATTTTATTTAAAAATCGGATCTGTAAACAAATTTATTTTACAGGATTATACTTTTGTAAACATTGCAATGGTTTTGAAAAATGAAGATGATGGTGATGAGAAATCATTTAAAAAAAATTACTCAAAGCGTAAATGATGTAAACTTCTTACATGAAACTATATATTTTACTGTTAATTTTGTTTGTTAAAACCTTATATTCTTTAAAGGTTTTCTCTTATTTCAGTAAAAAAATGTTAATGAAATAATTTGATTATTAAAATAAGCGTAAAAAGTTTTCAACCAATTATTATTGTTAACCACATTATTTATACATTAATGAGGTTGCTAACTCTATTCAGAACATTTTTTTTTTTCAACACTGACTTAGCGCACTCTGCTGATGCATTTGAAAACTAATTCACGTTCCAATTAAGCTTCAGCATTATGCGGCATTGTGCGGCACTGAGTCGCATAATGCTCTGTAATTGGAAAACGCATACAGTTTTTAAAGTAGGTGCATATCTGTGGTGTATCCACTTTCCTCTATTTTCTTTAGTCTATGGGTGAAGCTGATTGCAGGCAGCAACTTATTCACTGACGTCCGACACTGATTTGTCATTTGTGTACATTAGTTCAGTAAACCAGAAGTAAACATTATATATCTCAACTCGAACTTTAATTTTTAATAAACTTACAGGTTACACGCGTTAGGTTTTTAATTATAAATTTATCAATATTTTAAAATCGTCAGCGGCATAATTTGTAAAATGGCAAATAATGCGGAAGAACCAGCAATATTGGCACAGCAATGTTATTTAAAAAAAGACTATGCAGCAGCGCTTCAACATCTTAGTGAATTAGAAAATCTTGTTAGTAATAATACTGTTCTCCTCAAGCGTGTACAACATAATAAAGCAGTGGTTGAATTGGCTGCGTCTGATATGAAAAATATTGAAAACTTTAAAACATGTATGTCTGATTGTGCTGGTGTTGACTTCCCAGATGAAGAAGTTACTGAAATATCATCTCCTTTTGCGTTATATAACTATGCAGTTATATTATATCATTATCGATATTACTACCAAAGTGTAGCAATACTTGAGAAATTATTGACTTCAAAGGTTATTAAGGATAAAAAGTTACTACACTATGTAATATTACTCCTGTTAGAATGCACACTTTGCAGACGCACTTACGAAAAAACACAAGAAATTGCAAATGCTTATGGTGATAGCTTGAAATCAAATAATGAATTTAGTCATTTGTATCAACGTCTCATAAGCAGGGCACAAGTGTTTCTTGGAAAAAAAATTCATCTAAAGCCAGACTCAATAGAGAATGTTTTAATAGTGGCACAAGAACAGTATCTCAATGGTAATATTAATGATTCTTGTAACACAATAAGTTTGTATACATCATTAGAGTGCCGTTATGATGTCAGAAATGAAGGTGAAGATGTTTGGGCTGCATTAAATAATAACCTTGGAGTTATCTACTTGTCTCTAAAAAAACCTTACTTGGCAAGAAAATACTTCCAAAATGCATTAAAGGAACATTTTAAAAATTTAGAAAGTGATGATGGTGACAGGCTTATTATTTGTAAGGATCATCCAATTTATGTCTATAATCTTGGGTTAGCACTACATGCCACAAAGAACATTGAAGGAGCATTTGAGTGTCTAGTGGAAGCTGCAAGACATTACCCAAACAATCCACAAATCTGGGTAAGACTAGCAGAGTGTTGTATTAAGAAGTGTTGCAGTGATGAAGTCCAAAAGTTCATTGTAAAAAAACTTGGTAGTGGCTCTCATACAAGAGTCCTTGTTGCAAAAGAAAAAGAGAAATATTCATTAGCTGGAGAATCATATGCTATACCATCGCTTTCTCTTGAGTTTGCAGCACTTTGCTTAAGAAATGCTATAACATTGCTACTTAATCAAGAATCTCCCACAGATGAAACACATCCTTTTATTCAGGCACCTCCTGGCCCTCCTATTAACTGGAAACAAAGATGTGAATTAAAAAATTCAATACATGTCCTGCAGAGTTATGTTTACTTACATCTTCAAGATCCTCTTGCTGCTTTAGTCAGTGCCAATGAATTATTAAGTGAAAGCGATGCTTCAAATGGTCATAAAACTTGGGCTCATATCTATGCTGCTGAAGCATTGATTATATTGGACAAGACAGTGGAAGCAATAGAGCATTTAAAGCCAACAATGATTCATGAACTTGTATCTGGTCTTCCTGATCAAACCAGAGACATAATTGGCCTAGCAGTATGGGCTAAAGCCGCTGTGTGTAATATATTGCGTGGAGATCTTCTACAGGCAAGGAAAATCCTCCAGCAAATAAATTCTTCCAAAGTTTTACCGTTACAAATGTATGTAGAAATTTGCTTAGGATGTGTAGAAAACTGTCATACATTACTGCGAAAAATACGATATTCTCATGTATCTCAATAACTATACACAAACATTATCAATTATTCATTAACTTCCCATATAAAGTATTTTCAGCCATAGCTGAATACTGAAATCTCTAAATGCTAACTAGCCAAATATAAGGCTAAAGTATTGTGTATGGATGCTTACATGTGATTTATTTAAATTACCATGTTACTCAGATTTGATTCAGATATAGTGTGTTGTCTATAATAAATATGACAGAAGTTAATTATATACCTGTTCATAAAATAAATTATACTATTTTTTAAATAGTAAGATGTTCTTTGCATGTCTAGTTATACAAAATAAAAATATTTCTAAGAATACATTTGTTTATTCCTTTTATGCAAAAATTGTTAACAAAATAAAACAAGTTTATAAAATCCTCACTTATAAATCTGGGTGAAGTATACTTTTAAACTTTTTACTTGATCTTTCTGCTGGTCTGATACAAAAATGTTTTCCAAATACTATAAGTTTCAATTTTTTTATGTACACATTGAATATGCTTTCTTTTTTTGGTATAGTTGTGACTAAATCATTAGGTGATACAATTTTAAAGGTATTTTTTGTATCCATAATGCAGATACCTATTTTACCAACATAGCTAGGACACTTTGAACGGACAACTTCCAACATGCTTCCATTAAAGTCTGCTTTATATAGTGTTTGTGTAAATTGCTCCCATTGTTTGCTTGTTACATCTGGAACAGATTTATCTAGTTCCAGAATTTGGCTAACATAATCTACCCAAATTTTATGTAGAGGTTCAAAATCAATATATTTAATACTTCCTCTTGGAATAATATAGAAACCCAAATTCTTCTTCTCTTTTCGTGTTAATAATCTCGTTTTTCGTTTTCTTATCTTGAGTTTACGATCCCTGGTTTTTGTCTTACCAAGTAAAAAGTCTTTTTTAAGTTCTGTTCTAATGTTGACTATATCGGATCGGGGGACATAAGCTTCCAAAAATTTTACCACAGTTTGTGATTCTTGATTTTCTAAATCAGTACAATCCATTTTGGCCATATTTGCCAACTCCAAAATAAATTCTGGATATTTAATTGTACTAAGCTAATTTCTATAAATCATATGGGTCTCTCATATTATGTTGTAGTTATGTAGTTTGCTTATGATTAATGATATTAGCTGTATTATTATAATTTATGTGTAATAAACGTTTACAGCATGCGCCATGCACTGACGTTTTATTCAGTTTTCAAACGTCGAAAGTTGAAACGAAATAGTTAACAGATCATAAATCATAATACACGTTAGAGTCTGGCTAACGAAAGTAGATACTGGATTTTTTTGCAAACTTTTTATATGACAACACTAAAGTTAGTACGGTCAAAATGTCTTGATATTTTTTTATTTTAAATAAGTACATATTAGTTTTAGTTACTTTAGATAATGTTATTGTTCTTTTACAGATAGTCTTGAGATTAATAGCCAACGGTTATGAATTTAAGAAAAACAAAAATGAACGTTCATTATTAATTGAACGATATGATATAGCTGCATGGAGACATCGCTTTTTGCGTACCATTGCATCGAAACGTGCAGAAGCCAAGCCAATAATCTACTTAGATGAAACTTATGTCCACACAACCTATAAGCCTAAAAATTGCAAGCATCCACTACTAAAAAAAACTTTGTTGTCTGTAAAGTCGGTTTACTGACGATAGTTGAACGTGACAACGTCATAAGAAAATACTGATGGAATGGTTGCATTTTTCAAAAGAAAATGTTTATTTTATTTGTTTGATAGATATTTTGTATGGATATAGAAAAGGAGGTAAATGGAAATCACAATTGAATTGATCAAGTTACATTTATTTGTACGCAATAATAATACAATTATCTCAATTTTTTAACGAGCGAACGCTCTTTGTCGCTCATTCCGCGCTCTCGCTTGCACTTCAAGCCTTAAATGGAACGCCTCAGAGCGAGGTAACGCCGCATGAGTCATGTTTTTTCGTGCGTGCAGCCGGCTCCATCGTATTATAAGACGTTGTCACGTCAAAAAAATGAAAGTATCAAAGTGAGTTGTCCCAACTTTCCTTTTTACTTTAGGGCTGCCATTCTGATCAACTTTCATTAGCCAGACTCTACACAGATGAATTAAAGTCGAAAGTCAAAACTCATTTATTCATATAGATAACACAATGGACACGTCTTAAGGTGCGCTTAAGGTAATTTATAAATAATTAAATAATATATTTTATAATTATTTATAAATTACAACTTAACTTAACTTTTATTTTAATTTATTATTTTTAATTTATTTATAACACAACAAACAGAGGCTGACTACGCGCTGGACTCTTGCCGCGCGCTATCCTACTTCCACCCGACCTCTCGCTCTCCCCGCAAGCAAGACGGCAAGCCGCAAAACAATCAAGTGCGAATGAGATATATACAAAAATTGCTAGGAATTTCCAAGTCCATTGGATATTCGTCAATTCGTATCTGCGACATTGAGCGATATGAAATATCTGGAGCAATTAGAAGCAATATCGCCGAAATAATTTATTGAAATTTATTGAATTTCTTGAAATTGCTCCATTAATTGCTCCAGATCGGTCCATTCGTGTTGCCGAGCAATTATTGCCCTCGTGTAAGCGCACCTTTATGAACGTAAAAAAAAAATACATTAAATGCTTCGAATATTACTTTTTTTTTTTGACAATTCACACCAATTGACCTAGTACCATGCTAAGCTGGTGAAGCTTGTGTTATGGATACTAGGCAACAGATATACGTAGTCGGTCCCAAAGTTCTGTCATAAATAGAAATAATGATAAAAACTAAAGTACTGATCAGTTTTTAATGAGTGATATATCAATTAATAGTACATAAATTAAGAAATAGAAATAGCATAAAATTATTCGAAATGACCTCCCTTATTTTTAATACAGGCCCTTAAGCGCCGCGGCCAGTCGTCTATCGCAGCACGCACCATATTCATGTCGATTTCAGTGACTGCTTTTTTTAAAGATGACTTCAGACACTCCAAATTTTTATGGGGTTTATCACAGACCTTCCTCTCTAAGACCTGCCAAATTTTATAGTCCAAAGGATTAAGGTCTGGACTGGAGGAAGGCCAATCCTCATGTCTAATTAAGTCGATGTTTTGACGCTCAAACCAGGTTTGAGTGGTCTTGGCTTTGTGTGCAGGCGCAGAGTCCTGTTGGAACACAAAGTGATGTCCCGAAAATAGCGTGCTGGGCAGGTCTTTGACAAGCTGGTCCAAAACCGTGTCTTGATACACTTTTGCACTGGTTTTGACCCCCTTTTCGCAAAAATGAACCTCGGCCCGTAATAGGACACTCCCAACCAGACCATTACTGATGATGGATGATGTCCATGTTGCACCCTCGGAACTTTATTTCCAGCTTCTTCAGAACTCCTAGCGTACACTCTATCATTCTGTTTATTGTACTTCTCTTCAATATCGAAAAATTTTTCGTCCGTAAAGAGGATATCACGGTGTCGGTTTTTCGCGTACCGCTTTAACAAACCCCGCGATCTCTTAAGCCTTATTGCTTTTAGACGAGCATTAAGTAGGTGCCCACTCTTTCTTTTGTATGCCCGTAGACCAAGATCTTCATTTAAAACCTTTTTTACTGTTTTCCTACTGACACCCATCTGCAAAGCCATCAACTTCTGTTTTCGGACAGGATTTCTTGCTATCCGCGCCTTGATAGCTTTGATCACTGCTGGTGTCCTTGCGGAGCGTGGCCGGCCAGTTCTTTTCTTGTCCTCAACACTGGAGACTTCATTGTACCTATCAATAGTACGGTACACAAACCTAAGCGTTATATTTAAATTTTTGAGCAACTTGAAAATGGTACTCGCCGAGTGCCCACAGCGGTGCAACGCAATAACAGCTATTCGGTTTTCTTTCAATGTCCACTCCATCTTGAAAATTTACGGAAAGTGATTGTTTTTTGTTTTAAAACAATAGTCAAACAATCAAAAATAGAATGCAATAATTTTTTTATAAAATCATGTTCGTAATTTAAAAATAATGTGCCAGTGACAGAACTTTGGGACCAACTACGTACATACATATTATAGAAAGATAGATATATACATACATATTTAAACACCCAAGACCTAAGCACAACACCAAATGCTCATCACATCGATGTTTGTCTCAGCCGGGGATCCAACCCGGGACCCATGGATTCGCAGTCAGGGGTACTAACCACTAGACCAATGAGCCGTCAACATTTACTGCCAGTTCTCAAATCAAGGGCGTAGAACGGAAGAAAAGAACTGCCAATAAACTCTCCGCCACTCTTTTTAATCGCCAAGTTTTTTGTTTAACACAACGTTTGTAAGGAGCTGCAACCATTACCGCATGTTCCACATGACATCTTAAATAATAATAAAATAAATTAAAAACAAAGATTTGTTCTCTATCAGCAGGAGGCGTGATGAAATAGGAGCACGCACTTACATTCTCGTGGGAAAAATACGCAAATACATAGTAAAAATAACAAACATACCGAATACATACCGCATACATACCGCATACACGAATTCAAGTACGACCAGTTACCACAAGTAGCACCCGTTCACGAGTATGACGCATGGCCAGCCATCGGCCCCCTCGCCATATTTAAGGGAGAGAGACAACCCGACGCATGGACGCCACCACAGGCAATGACATTTAAGCGAGCATGACGATCCTTGAAATGTAAACTTGGCTACATAAGAATGTATTATTACTAATTATACTGAAACAATTTGATACCACATGGATCACGGTTTGTTCCCACTTTACATTAAAACAGTCGTGGATGTTGAAGATGGCCCCAGAGTCTGGAAGTGCAGACGAGAACTTCAGTCGCGTTATACTAGAGTAATTCATATCCAAGCACTAGGATCGTTTAAATATTCATTTATATTATAATAGGCCTTAGCAAGCAGTTTTACTTTAATGTACGATTTAAATTTATTTATTGACAATACTTGTATCTCACTAGGGATCTTGTTGAAAAAAAGTATAAAATTTCCTTGGAAAGAATTACACGTTTTATGCAGCCTTGTGGTTGGTGCACTAATTTTGTCTATATTACAAGTACTATAATTATGGAAGATACTGTTCTTTTTAAAAATATCTATATTTTTCCGCACATACAAAATATTCTCATACATGTATTGACTTGCCAAAGTCAAAATATGTAATTCCTTAAACTTCCTTCGGGATGACTCCCGTGGGGACAACCCACAGATCGCTCTTATAGCCCGCTTTTGCACTTCAAATATCGATTTAATGTCAGCTGCATTACCCCACAAAATAACACCATATGACATAATACTATGAAAATTGCTGAAATAAACGAGCTTTGCTGTATTATCATCCGTAAGATTGCGTATCTTTTTCATTATATGTGTAGGCCCCACTGGAGTTTACTATCTAAATTAATTCCCAAGAACACCGCATTATCAACAAAGACTTTTGTCATTTGAAGTTACAAATTTAATACATTTTGTCTTCTTTTCGTTTAGCTTAAAATTATTTGTATTAAACCAGTGAACTACACTGAAGATGGCACTGTTTACATTCTCAAGTGATGGATTTCGTCGTTTCACTTTAAATAAAAGCGGAGTGTCATCGGCAAACAGTACTATCACGTGAAGCTCCTTTACAAGATATGGTAGGTCATTTATATAGACGATGTCTCTACCACTTTCGAATGCTGAGTGCGAAAGAGTTTTCAACAATGTTAACGACATCAAAACGAAAAAACGGAATAAACTTCTTACAAAATTTTATCGCAGCAGGCCATACAGCGACACAGAAAAAAAAGGTATTAATTTTAATCCAACTCCCTTTATGATTGAAAAACATAGTATTTAAAATTATTGGAACAATTATACCGCCTGACTCTGATTAAGAATATGTCTTATTGAAGTTAGGTATACTTCTTTAGGCGCGTTATGAAAAATTTATGAGAGTGAAATTTTACGATGCGCGCGCACCTGTGACACAAAATTGGGAGTGTGATTATAGCGTGCGCGAGCGAGATAGGAATAAGACAATCTACAAGTAAAAAGAAATAGAATATGCGTGAAGTTCGTATGCCAAGAATTTTGAATGACCATAATGACATTTGTCATTTACCTTTTAAACAAATAAAGGAGTTTTGATTAATTTTTCAAAGAAATTTATTAATTTTATATTGTGCAATACTGCCAAAGCTACAACATACTTCTTAGTGTTTGGTAGAGATGTTCTAAATATATAATTATATATACTTTTAACTAAATAGAATTTATGTTACACTTAATGTAAGAGAATAATAATAAATAATTATTTATTTAATTTTTCAAATGTAATCTGAACTTAATTGACTATAATGACTCCTTTTCCAGTCTTTGATTATTTAATTGTAATTAAGTATTTGCATGCAATCAAAAACTATTTTTAATAATGCCAAAGAAGTATAACTTCTTACGCGCGTACATAAGTACACGCACCCTTTTTTTTTCAACTCTGACTCTTTACATACTACAAAATGAATAAGGTAATTCTACCGTATTTCAAATATAAGTTATGTACAACATAATTTCGGAAAATCTACCGTATTTTTAGAAGCATTCTACCATCCGGCGTTCGCTAGATTTCAGACTTGGCAACACTGCCATACTTGATCAGTAATTGTAGGTCTAGACTCTAGATACCTGGCCATGAACTTTAAAAAAAAAAAACAGTAATTGTCAATTTCTCAGTGTTTACAAATTGTAGTTGAAAATTCTTCAAAAAGTTTCATTCAACTCTTACACAGTACACTACAAAATTCCAAACTTAACCAAACAGCAAAGTATTAACCATATTAGATTAAGGATTCAAAGTTTAACTTTTACTTTATAGCCTTTATGTAAATTGTATTAGAAAAAGAGGTTTAACTCTTCAGGAATAATGTCTCCGAAGGTTACCAAAATCAAACTCAACAATGGTATGGAACTGCCAATGGTTGGTCTCGGAACTTATGCAGTAAGTGTCGCAACTTGGTTGTATCCCTAATCTCCTGTCAAGTATGTAGATAATATGTAATGAGCCATTTACTAGCTGTTGATATGTAGGGGTCAATCAAGGTTACAATAAATGTTTGAGCTGGAATATAACATAATATGTAAGATGAAATGAAATTAATGAGAAATTAAATATTTATCAAATTATGTTATTTTCTTGAATTTTCATTAACAATTATAGAGAAAATGGGATGCAGGGGATTTCCAGCAAGCTGTAGAGTGTGGCATAGACTTAGGCTACAGGCACATTGACACTGCATCTATTTATAAGAATGAAGAGGAGGTGGGACAGGGCATACTTAATAAGATTAAGAATGGAAATGTATCTCGCGATGACCTTTTTATTACAACTAAGGTATGTTACTTATATATTTTAGGTAGATTTAACACTATACCATATACACTGTATTTGCATACTGGTTTTTTCTTTATTTTTATAGTTGTGGAACAATTATCATGGAGAGAATGACGTAGTTCCGGCATTGAAAGAATCTCTAGAAAAACTGAAACTAGACTATGTGGACTTGTATTTAGTTCATTGGCCTATCTCAATCAATGTAAGTTTCTTAAACCTCAATTCTTAAAATCCAGATTTTTTTTATGTTATGTTAATGGGTTGTGAACTTTTAAGCTTGTTTAAAATTGTGCTAATAATCCTTAATAACAGTATAAAATAAATATTTGAGGCACATATTACACTAAGCATGATTTTTGCTTATTTTCCAATTGCGCTTATAAATTAAGGCATCATTACAGATGTCAATATTAGCATTCTTGAGATATTGTTTTGAAATCCAACAGGAACTTTTATAATGATTGTTTTTTTAAAGAAACCTTGAGTTTTTTGACCAATTAAGGATTATTATTATTGTAGAATAATGGAGAAGACAAAGGCATAGACTACTTAGAAACTTGGTTGGGAATGGAACAAGCTTTACAGCTTGGTCTCACCAAAGCAATTGGTGTTTCTAATTTTAATGAAGAACAACTGGACCGACTGCTCAAAGTAGCTAAAGTTAAACCTGTTGTCAATCAAATTGAGGTTGGTTCACTTAAAATATTGAAAATACAAAATGTGTAACACATATCAATCACAAGTGAATTCTAAATCATAAAACTGTTTTCTTTATAATAAAGTTACATCAAGAAATATGTGATACTTTTCTATGGTTTTGCAATTCTTTTCTTAATTGCATTTTATGCTGTTTTTAGCATTTAAATATTTAGACATTTAACAGATCAACCCCACTCTAACTCAACATAAATTGGTGGACTTCTGCAAGAGTTCAAATGTTCAAGCGGTGGCTTACACCCCTCTGGGACTCATGTCTGATGCTCGACCTGAGTTTGCACACCTTGATCGGATCAAAACTGATCCAAAATTAGGAGCATTGGCTGCCAAGCATGGCAAAACTCGTGCACAGATAGCACTGAGATACTTGGTAAGTATTAGTTTTAACTTTTCTCTTTTAGTGTCCCATGAGAATGAGCAGACATTCAGTTTTGAGTAGACAGTGAAATAATCAGTAGTAACTTTGTACTGCTTCCTTATTGAATTGGATGGATCAAGTTTATTGAGCTATTTACCTCCTTTGTCTACTTTTAATTTTAGTGATGTGAATAAACGGTTTTCAATTTTCCTAACCTAATTTCTTACCACCCAAGATTTACTATTAGTCCCATTCATATATATATGACACAACTATGTGAAGATTTACAATACAGCATACACTTTTAATATTATATAATGCTTAGCATTTGGAATGAATAGTGTCGTGTTTACACAGGTTCAACGTGGTATTGTGGTTATTCCGAAGTCTTTTACGAAGTCTCGAATGGAGGAGAACTTGAATATTTTCGAGTTTGAATTGAGCGATGACGAAATGGCGCTGGTGGATAGCTTTAATATAGACCATCGGTGTGTGCCGGCCACTTCTTTCGCTCACCATAAATATTACCCCTTTTAGTGTATTTTTGGTTAATATCGTTGGGTGACGGGATTGCCAGGATATATTCTAATAGAGCTTCAATTTGATAACGAATTTTTACCTTAAGATCCAGTAAGCTGTTTTTCTCTCTTTAGAGTTTTAATAATATTATGTTACGTAAGAAGATGGTTGTGATTAAAGATCCCCAGCTGTGATAGACTTCAATTTAAGGTAAATGCTATTATATTATATATTTTGTTCATTTGGTGATAATAAAATTTGTTTCTATATCTGTTTATTATTTTTAATTCAGCAAAGATTTAAATAAACCTTTTTACGGATTTTAGTTAAAACAGTTATAAGAATCCCAGAATTTGTAATAGATATTGGTTGCACAATACTAACACCTAGCATGTAATGATGACATATTTTCGCCCCTAATTTGTTTATACATATATATATATATATATATATATATATATATATTCCTTGCAGGACCGGGCAAGCTCGTTTTTAGTATAACCACATCCTACAATAAATATAAAATAATAAATTTGGGTTGTTATGAGTAAATAAAATACCATTTAAATTCAATTGTTTGACAATTTATTTAAATCATAACAATAAATAAATAAACGCAACATTCAACATTATAAATAGGCATAAAAAATAAACCCAGAGCATTAACGGTTCAATCGTAACGGAATGTCTCATCTAGATCTCTCGAAGTTCATTTAAAAATGAGGGAAGACAGCGTTTGCCTACCGAGGTCTTTGTGAAATCGGATTCGAGAGATCTTAAAAAGTTAACAAAAGCCCAAAAATGCACAGAAGATAAAAAAAATGCAAAAATGTCATAATATATAAATTCGTCAATAAATAAAACATCACTCGAGAGCGCGAACGGAAAGAGATTCTAATTCGATTTCTATTGTCTGAAATGACTCGTCTGAACGGGGCGACGTTTCAAAATACACAAAAACAATATAAAAATAAACCTTTATACAAAAATAACGCAATAAAATATAATAAAAGCATTGAAAAAGAAATGCAATAAAATTCTGTTTTTATGAAACCCTGACACAACGTTAAGCTTACGATAACATCACATTGAAATACAAAATATATGAACCTCTCCGAAGGACACGTTTGTACCGAACTCTAAAAATGGTTCACAGTTTAGCTTAATCTATACATTGGGTAACTTTAACATTCTATATAATGCCACGAACATAACCGAACGAGATTTGGCTTCTTCTAGTTACAATTGCATTCATTTCAATATTTCACTCAAAGCGACGTCGAATAAATACAAAGGCAAACGTAAAAGTCACCTTCGAATCGTGAAGCTTTACTTCCAAACGTAGTTGAAGACGTCCATGATGCTGTCGTATATGGTGAAGGTGATGGCCACGTCGAACACTACTCTGCTGAGTCTAGGGACGGTTCCCTTGTAGAAGGCGAGGGGTCCCTCGTGCTTCCAGGTCTTGATGAAACAGTCCCAGGTGCTCTTGTACTTGGCGGCTTCGAGACCCTGCATCCTGGTCTTCACCACGTCGATGGGGGTGTTTCCGAACACTGACGTCGCACCTGGAAACGATAATATAAAATATTATTTATTTTAATGCACAAAAGAATCTAAGATTACACAATAACCGGATTTGGATTTATCTCAACGGCTCAGCCGATGTGTTCACTCAGCTCTCGCGGAATTAAAGAAGCGTTTGTTTGTCAATTGCACTAAAATGATAGTAACGAGCAGAACAGCTGGCGCGAGCAGCTCAAAGTAAGTCTACGGAATTGGCTTATTAATGTACTTAATTGTGAGACAACGTGAAACGCTTATCCTACTAACGCATGATTCATGAAGAGGCATAAAATGTATGGAAATGTAAATTCTTTATAGTTTTCCTCATATTCGACATTGACCACGTCTTTGTTCCGGATTCGTATCATACCACAGTATTTATCTACAAATATTTACCACTATTAAATTGATTTTATATTCTTTACGGTTTTCTTTTTTTTTAATAACGTGAAACATAGCACGAAAACATTTCTGCGTCTGCACCGGTTCGCTCTTTTTTCGCAATTGTCGAAATGCGAATGCAAATGCTACTCTAAGATCACATGGTAGACGACAAAGATACCCACCGGCGACACCACCGAACAGCGCCACGATGTACTTGGGCACGGGTTTGTCCCTATCCCCGCCCTTGTACCAATCGCGGAGAGACTCCATCACGAAGAACCTGATGGCCTGGTTGCTGCCCTGCTTCATTATCGTCGCCGACACACCCTTGTATACGCCGCCCACGCCTGAAAAGTTTTCATATTGAAGTGGTTCGGCTTAATTGTAAATTCTCTCTAAAGCGGGTCACATTTGTAGCATTTCGGTGTATCGTATCTCCGTTGCGTGGCTTCGGCGCGTATATGATCGTTAGTTTGGACGCAAAATGATACCCGTTTATGATACATGCCTATCATACGGCCCGATCCCACTAACTATCTTATACACCTCTTATCCGATACCGTACCACGATCGGTGGTATGGATATTTTATACTTATCACGATACTGTATCGCGATACGATACTTGATACACCCCGAACCATCCTGTGTCGGTTTTCCCATCATCAAAGGGAATAACATCGTATCGAACAAGTTTGTATTTTCCACTGGTATGCTAAATTTTAAATCTCGCATCAATGTATTCCACCATGTTTGTTTCGGTTTCTAAACACTTCAAGTCCACACCCGTCTAGTCTATTTAATTTTTTTAAAATACTATTAATGATAATATAACAGGCACAATCACCGCCAAATTGTGAGCAATTGCTGACATGGCTAAACCGTTTGGGAACGAAGACATGACTGAACCTACGAGAAGGGAAAGTCCTAAAGACACCATAGGAAAGTAATCGGAAGAAAAGTTTAAGCGTCTATATTTTAAATTAAACAAACTAATATACACATTGATAAGTATGGACCGTTTTTTACAAGATACCCTTAAAAATACGACATGGAAAATGACGTCCATAGAACAAATACAGATACATACACTGATCTACTAACATTAAAGGCCCGGCTTAACACATCATTCATCAAGGACACAAACTCAATCATAGCATTCAAGGAATTAATCACCTTCTAAGGAGGTATATAGATAGGGACTTTAGAGAGAGCTCAAAAGATTCGCTAAATCTTATCTAAGACGTTGCGTCTCTTGATCATGTCACCTTTTCAGTTTTCGATACGATCAAAGTTTTTAAAATAACCAATTTCCAAATGTTTTTTTACCAAATATTAATTAGCATTTTACATTTAAATGAAAGAAAAAAAGAGACCACTCTTTCGAAGTTGTGACGAGGTCAACCGAATTAATATAAAACAATGGCATTAACACTTTATTTGTATAAAAACGTTTACTTGTTTGTTTCTTTAGCAAAATCATTAAAAAGACATTAGACTACTAATTATTAATTACCATTTTATGGATGGAAACATTTTCTGTTTAAATACATGATGATTTGATTCAAACATAAGGGAAATGCAACTTTTTATAATAATACATTGAAATAATTTTGATTTAACGCGTTCTGTCTGCCAAAATCGTTACCTATAAAACGCACAAAAACTTTATTACTGCCAATAAATACGGCTAAGAGTATTTCAGTTGATAATAGCCGATTTGTAAGATACCTAATTTGTTGGATTTTTTTTATACACTCACCTTCCTCACGCACAATGGTTCGGACGCCATGGAAGAATCCTTTGAATCTTGGCTTTTCCATCCGCATGTCATTGATGAACTTGACCTTAACAGTCTCCATGGGTGTGACTGCGAAGATAGCTTCGGCGACACCAGCTGCCAGACCACACATCAGCTTCCCCGAGTTTGATAGAGTACCATTTTCATTCACCATATAAAGCTTCGCTTGTTCGAATACTCCGAATCTGGAATCGATACAAATTCCAGTTATGTCGCGGACTCAAATCACAATACGACAATTGTTTACAGACTTCAGACACGCAACCATTATCAGTTATCACCTTAAAACCACGATGTTCGTTATCCGTAAGTCTATTGTTATAATATATTCAAATCTGTGGATATCGTGAATGCCCTATGGTAGTTAGTTGACTTTCCATTCGATATGGTTTCTGTAGTTTTTAGGGGATTTAATTTGTTTATTCTTGATGAAGTAAAACTTAGGATAATATTCAGAAAATCCGTGTTTACACGAGGATTTTCGTAGACTCGATTTAATATATTTAGCAATTTTTAATTAAATAAACAAGTCAGTGATCCGATGACGCAGGGATGTGCTTAAATAAATTAGTTACGTAATTGTATATATCTCGTTATACAATTTTAAAGGAAAAACGAAGAATTACCTCAATATTATTCAATTGTCATAACCGTCCCACACCATAATAATATAAAATGATGTTGAACCGGGATATTCATGACTAAGTTACTTGATTTATATTGTAATAAAAAATTCCATCATAAGAAAGAACAAGCCTGAGTTTTTCAAATTATAAAGGTTTGCTGCGGGTTCTTCTAATTTTCGTGGCTTTATTTTGTTAATACATACATACTTTGTACGCGTACGACCGGAATGTCATTGACTATTGATTAAAACACTATCTTACATGACTCAATGATCTCCCTATCACTTAATTATTTAATTGCTCCACATAAGGTTTCGTGTTTTGAATATATGCTGCAAAGGTTACATTCTATATACCCCACTTCATACGTTAAGGGATTGGTGTTAATATGTAATACATGTACCGATTTTAAGTCAAGGTCAAGTATAGAGACTATTCTAGTCTATCTCGCAGCCGATACAGCTTACAGCTGTAATCATATTCAGACAAAACGCCATCGTTATCATGTACATTCTCACATATGCTGCAGAGCCAGCCTATTCGATAGAGTCTCTATGTGTGGACCCCACTGGAGAAATATTTATATAAAGTACACGTCCAGGGCCAAAACACGGGTATGTGTAATATATTACAAGCCGGTTAATCTTGAAGTAACCAGTTACGTAATCTATCGTCACAATAATATATGCACAGTTCATTTTTTTTGCGACGATTATAAAATTTACGTGTACGTAAAATAACACCCTTTCATATTCCTTTCATATTCTTATGTAAAGTTATATTACATAAATAAAGTTAAGTGGTATTTATTTTATGCAGTAGAATGGGAGCAACATTTAAAAAAGTACCTAAATGTAATATATAATGTGACATATTGAGAACTTGAGTAGCTTATGGATATACCCGTAGCAGCCAACTAGCTTAATATTCTTATATTCGCGGCGTAAACACAATATGACAAATAGAGACTAATTTAGTTTTTACGAATAAGGGGCTTGTTATAGTGTATATATAAATCTTGAAATGCATGCTATGTTTGTATTTCCCTATTGCTCCATTCAAAACACAGTCGTATCATAAAATACTTAACCCTCCGGCTTGAATCCTTCCAACGAAATAACATTTTGCTGTAATATGGTTGGACTAACCTGACGGCAGACTTTGGTATAGAGCCATACAGAAGCACGCTGAGACCACGGTAGAGGCCGAGAAAACCATGACCCTTGACAGTTTTTTGGACGCAGTCAACTATACCCGAGTACCTTTTGGTTCCACCTGTAAGAGGAAATAAGAGATTTTTAAAGTTAGATAATACTTGGACCTGAATAGTTATTGACGTATCCCTTTAAATTAAAATATGCTGGTAATTTTTCGAAATAAGTATTCATTCTTGCTCTCAATTTCTCAAAAGATAAATAGACTCTCAAGCCAGTGAAGAGCTAGTCTACTCGATGGTTCTTGAGGATCTTGACCCAACCCCAGTAAAGTCAGTGATCATTCAGCGTTTACATAACTTACATCAATAAATAAAATAATAACTCCGTAGCTAGATCATTTTTCACTTGGTATTTGAATCGCGCTAAATATGTGATAATTGATATATTTATTAGATAGGTACAAATTGTCTTTGCGCAATACATTTTTGTTTCGCTTGCGTGGAATAGTTCCCCAAAATAAATTGTCTGTAAAAATAGAAGTTCTTGTTGTTTTATTCCTCCGATTTGATCGCAAAGGTTACGTTACAACTTTTATTTTGGACTAGCTGATGCGGCCTTCAGCTACTCCAAGAGTCGAATTTGAATATAATTTTGATAAATATAATTCTATGTTCTACCCAAGGTATAGCTCTGTTTCTGCGAACTTTCAACGTTTGAAAGTGATAAATGAATAAATGTAACATATTATACGTATATATTATTTCGAAACGTAGATTCAATTGAATTCCAACTAGATTCTGTAAAGCCCTTTGTACCTATAGTAAAAAGCCACACTCGTACTCGCCTTATCGAACTGAGCGCTAAAACTAATTTCTAGGTCAAGTTACCCTTGGGTCAGCCGCCGAATTACCACTCGCACCTACTTCTCCTTGTTACATAATAAAATTTAATAATACAAACAAGATTATCTTGTCTCTAGCTGAAATTTCAATAGCTCTAATATTCGGATATATATTTGTTTAGGACTGTTTTTCCTGACGTTACTATATATTCGATATATTATGTTAATATCTTACGAAATATTCCTTAAAAGTTACGTATATCGTCACTTGCTATGCATGCGTAAGTTCTTTACAAATCCTAAAGAGAGTATATAAGCGTATTTTTCGGTGCCATTATAAAATGAATTGGTTTTATAAATCAACCTGAATATTTATTGAAAATGAGTTATAGCATTAAAGTTATGACTATTATCTCATTTGTAATAATTACTCGGTCTAATACCTAATTTTAATATTGAAATCGTTTGACAGTGCTTTATGGAAGGGGAGCCCACGATGCAAAATGGGGTTTCCCTCGCGGCCCCCAGAGCCCTATGGGGAACCAACAGCATAAAAAAAAAAAAAAAAATTTTTTTATAAACCCCCCCCCCCCGGGGGGGGGGGGGCGCGCTTTAATTTTAAAAAAAAAAAAGCCCGGCGCCCCCCCCCCCCCCCCCCCCCCTCTCGGCCCCCCCCCCCCCCCCCTCTTTTTTTTCCCCCCTTTTTTTCCCCCCCCCCCCCCCTTTGGGGGGGGGGCGTTTTGGGGGGGGGGGAAAAAAAAAAAAAACCCCGCGGGCCCCCCCCCCCCCCCCGGCGGCCCCCCCCCCCCCCCCCCCCCCCCCCCCCCCCCCCCCCCCCCCCCGGCCCCCCCCCCCCCCCCCCCCCCCCCCCCCCCCCCCCCCCCCCCCCCCCCCCCCCCCCCCCCCCCCCCCCCGGGCCCCGGTCCCCCCCCCCGCCCCCCCCCCCCCCCCCCCCCCCCCCCCCCCCCCCCCCCGCCCCCCCGCCCCCCCCCCCCCCCCCCCCAAAAACCGGCCCCCCCCCGGGCCCCCCCCCCCCCCCCCCCCCCCCCCCCCCCCCCCCCCCCCCCCCCCCCCCCCCCCCGCCCCCCCCCCCCCCCCCCCCCCCCCCCTTCCCCCCCCCCCCCCCCCCCCCCCCCCCCCCCCCCCCCCCCCCCTCCCCCCCCCCCCCCCCCCCCCCCCCCCCCCCCCCCCCCCCCCCCCCCCCCCCCCCCCCCCCCCCCCCCCCCCCCCCGCCGCCCCCCCCCCCCCCCCCCCCCCCCCCCCCCCCCCCCCCCCCCCCCCCCCCCCCCCCCCCCCCCCCCCCCCCCCCCCCCCCCCCCCCCCCCCCCCCCCCCCCCCCCCCCCCCCCCCCCCCCCCCCCCCCCCCCCCCCCCCCCCCCCCCCCCCCCCCCCCCCCCCCCCCCCCCCCCCCTGCGCCCCTCCTTTTCCCCCCCCCCCCCCCTTCCCCCTTTCTTTTCCTTTTCCCCTTTTTCCCCCCTTCCCCCCCCCCCCCCCCCCCCCCCCCCCCCCCCCCCCCCCCTCCCCCCCGGGGGGGTTTTCCCCCCCCCCCCCCCCGCCCCCCCCCCCCCCCCCCCCCCCCGCCCCCCCCCCCCCCCCCCCCCCCCCCCCCCCCCCCCCCCCCCCCCCCCCCCCCCCCCCCCCCCCCCCCCCCCCCCTTCTTCCCCCCCCCCCCCCCCCCCCCCCCCCCCCCCCCCCTCCCCCCCCCCCCCCCCCCCCCCCCCCCCCCCCCCCCCCCCCCCCCCCCCCCCCCCCCCCCCCCCCCCCCCCCCCCCCCCCCCCCCCCCCCCCCCCCCCCCCCCCCCCCCCCCCCCCCCCCCCCCCCCCCCCCCCCCCCCCCCCCCCCCCCCCCCCCCCCCCCCCCCCCCCCCCCCCCCCCCCCCCCCCCCCCCCCCCCCCCCCCCCCCCCCCCCCCCCCCCCCCTTCCCCCCCCCCCCCCCCCCCCCCCCCTTTTTCCCCCCCCCCCTCCCCCCCCCCCCCCCCCCCCCCCCCCCCCCCCCCCCCCCCCCCCCCCCCCCCCCCCCCCCCCCCCCCCCCCCCCCTTCGAAACAAACTCAAAGACATTTTTTATAGATCCCAATCGCATTATGTTAGATAAGTCGAAATGTTTATCAAAGTATTGGAGTGTTTGTGAACTCATTATCACTGAACAAATAAAAACTCGTGATTGGATGGGTTTCGAAATTACTGGATAAACAATATTGTAATGATACGATTAGCAAATTGGCGTTTTCGTAATCATACGAAAATGAACACTAGTGTTAAGCTATTCGAATTTTATGTATAAAACGTAGCTGCTTGAACTCGTGCTTTGCTAGTGTAAACTTAGATAATAATATAGCGTACGAGTCAAATACTCATACTTAGCGCTAAGTGATGTCTGTTGAACTACGCGATAAGTCTAGTTCTTGAATGTCACCCTTACTTTTTAAGCTCAGTACATAATATAATTAACATTTGTTTAGAATTTTAGATATGGAAATGTATCAGTCGAACATAATTAACAATTTTAGTAGTGTTAAACTAGTATCAAGATAATATTACGTACCGCTTATGTATATTCATATCTATATCTAAAATCACTCCATGTAGTGATAACACCTTTAGTTACAAAACACATTTAAAATAGTTAAAAGAAGGAAAACGTATGTTACATTATTTTGTAAAGAGTGGATAAAAAGAAAGAACATAATAAATAGTGGAAATATGCACAAAGTCATATTCCCCAGTCTTAGTCAAATTAATGATAAAATATCATAGATAGATTTTGAAATAATGTTTTCTTCATTCAAATAGTAGTTGTTGGCCAAAGTAACAGTCAATCATTGCAAATTTTTGTTGTGAAAACAAATTAATTAATGCTAACAATATCCTTGAGGATAGTTTCCAATTTAATTGCCGTTTATTCGTCGTTAGCCGAGCAAAGTCCATGTTCAATAGAGTATTATTTTACAAGTGCGACTTGACGCCCGATTGTAATTTGTGCTAATGTAACCTCGTAAACAAATTCACGGCCGAGACCAGATTCTTATAAGAAAATATATATTCGTTTCCGCCGCCAAACTACAGCTGAATAAAAATATATTTACTTAACATTACGCTGGCCAATGACGTAAACACCGAACTTAAGATTTTATTTTTGGAACAAAAAATTCTCACATTATGTTTATTATACCATCAGATAAGAGATTATACGAATATTATTAAGTTGATAAAATACAAATTTATGACTAAAAGTCCGCGTTTTATAGTTTCAAAAGCTGACCTTTTTCGTCTAATTGTAGTTGTGTTTTTACATATTCGGTCGGGAATGTAATACAAATTTCAATGCCACCAGTTATTCCGCCAGCGACTACTCCTTTCAATCCAATGGAACCACTTCCTGCCGCTGCCGCTGCTCCAGTCTCCGTCATCCATGGTCTGGAGAAAGGATTTTTGAAATTTCCCGTCTTAGAAGACATTATCAAAAAGTTCCAGTTTAATGTCGTATTAAACAACAACTGGAGCACGCGGCGTAACCCTATCAACAAGGAGGAGAAAAGTTAACTGCACAGATTACGAGATTTATCATTTGCTAAAATGACTATTGACAGCTTCAATGGGAAACTGTCTAAGTTAAAGTCGCGTAATGTCAAGTATGATAACTTTAAATGACAGGTTAGAACTATGGGCATTGACATTTGACATTTTGATTGTGAAAAAGTATACAAAATACAAATTACAAACGAATCGACGTAGCGCATCTAGGCATCTAGCAGGCGAAACTTACAAATTGTTAAAGAGTAACATTTATGTATTATAAATCAAAATAAATAAATACAGCAATCATGGCGTTAAGAACATACGGCGATAAGCCTATAAGTTTCCAAATAGAAGAAGGGGGTGACTTCTACTGTGTTGGCTCAGAGGTATACTAAAAACTTCCAAAAATTAGATTATTTTTCATTTTAAAGTTTCAATAAATAACACATGTTAATGTATTCAAATTACAGGTTGGAAATTATCTTCGGTTATTCCGAGGTTCTCTCTACAAAAAGTATCCTGGCATGGCCAGAAGAACTCTGACAAACGAGGAAAGAAAGAGACTAGTTGATAATGGCCTGGGACCTCATGTTCTATCCAGTTCTGTCTCTTTGCTTAAAGCTTCGGAAGTTGAAGATATTATTGAAGGAAATGATGAGAAGTAAATTTATCTTACAACACAACACAATATGAAGGATTTAAACCTTTAAGATTATTGGGGATTTTCTAATGATTAATTTTTATATTTGATAGGTATAAGGCTGTATCAGTCAGTCAAGAAATGGCTACTCCAAGAGAGGGCAAAAGTAAGAAGCCTCATAATCCTTCATGGCTTCCGGTCATGCCCAACTCATCACATTTGGATGCAGTACCACAGGCTACTCCTATCAGTAGAACAAGAGTTCACAATAAGAAGGTTTGTACTATATGTTCTATTGATAACTTATTTGTTAAACGGCAATTAATCAATAAAGCGTTTTATAAATTTGAGAAATACTTAAATGATCCTTATCCTTGGGATTGATTTGCTCCAATTCAAACAATTTGTATGACAATACTTGGCGATTAAAAAGAGTGGCGGAAAGTTTCTTGCCAGTTCTTCTTACCCGCTCTACGCCCTTGACTTGCTAACTGGTGGTGGGTGTAAATTTACAATTAATTTAACTTGACAATTCAAAAGTGTACTTGGTTACCCAATTGAATAAAGATATTTTGAGTTTGAGTTAAATACATATTAATGACATGTTAAAATCTATTATGTTTGGCTATGTGACAGAACATCGTAGAAAGCTATTTATTAAGTGCTAGAGCGTCATGACAGTGTTAATGTTATTGTAAATTTGACCGTAAGGGAAATGTTGTCCAATTTAACACAAATAAATTACAAACCTGGCTTATGAGTTGTAAAAAGAGTGTTTATGGATTGAGCCCCACCTTCCGTTTAAGGGTTGTTTCTTTCAAAATAGCGAACCGCCTCGAGTTGCTTGATACTACCCTCAATTTTTGTACGTTAATTCATGAGGAGAGAGAAGGAAGAGTCAATCATTCTAAGACCTGGGCCTCCTCTGTCTAGTTCTGTATTAAAAATATACAAGAGACTTATTCAGATTAATAAAAAGCTTAAATCCAATTTCTATATCTAAGTATGACTTATTTATGAGTGTGTTTTGCAACTAGGTGCGCACGTTCCCTCTCTGTTTTGATGACACCGACATGACAGCAATGCTGGAAAACGCATCACAGAAGCAGATTCTGGTGCCCATTAGACTGGACATGGAGATTGAAGGACAGAAGCTCAGAGATACTTTTACATGGAATAAAAATGGTATGAGTTGTTAAGATTTATAATAAGAAGGTTTTGCAGCTTGAAAAGCAGACATTGAAGAAGGCTATTAAAGAAGGAAATATAGTATAATATTGACTGATTCATTGAATAAATTTTCGCCGATTCATTGTTAATGTGGGCCGGCCAGTGGTCAACCTTCTATGCCTTTGGCCACAACCCACCAAGCTGTTTTTCCTTCACCATGCAAGCATGATTAGTGCACATAGGAAGAATTAATTATTTAGGCTTGTTTAGGCTAGATCACTGTACCGACCATTGACTACAGAGTTTACACCACTTGCTAAAGGCTTATAATAAAATAAAAATTCTAAAGAAAGTAAATTTATCCAGCCCTGTCATTTTTGTGAGGAAACAATTTTGAATGATAAATATTTTTTCCTTCAGAATCAATAATTACACCAGAACAATTCGCGGAGGTTCTCTGCGATGACTTAGAGTTGAACACTAGTACTTTCATCCCGGCCATCGCCACTTCTATCAAACAGCAGATCGAGGCATTTCCGAGTGAGCCACCCGCCATACTGGAAGAGGCCACCGACCAGAGAGTCATCATCAAGCTCAACATACACGTCGGGAACACTTCTTTGGTGGACACCGTACGTACGATATTCCACGATCGGCCGATCAATATTTGTGGAGGATTTGAGAAGTCTTTAATCGACACACATTTCAGGTGGAATGGGACATGTCAGAAAAAGAGAATAATCCTGAACAGTTTGCGATGAAACTTTGCGCAGAGCTGGGCCTCGGCGGGGAGTTCGTGACGGGCATCGCTTACAGCGTGAGAGGCCAACTCGGGTGGCACCAACGCACCTACGGCTTCAACGAAGCTCTGCCGACCGTCGAGGTTTTCATTTCCTACTAACAATGTTTCTGTTTCTAGCACTGGTGTTTAAGCGTCGTTCTTTTCAGACGCCATATCGCCAGCCGTCGGAGGCCGAGGTGTGGGCTCCGCACCTGGAGACGCTCACCAACGCCGAGATGGAGAAGAAGATCCGAGATCAGGACAGGAACACCAGACGCATGCGCCGACTCGCCAACACCACGCCCGGTTGGTAGACATACATACACACATACCAAATACTTTGTCAGAAAACTCTGCGTATACTATAGTTCGTACTTACTTAAATAGAAGACTTATTTAATTAATAAATTATTAACTAGGCGTAAAAGTTATATAGAGATTATGTCAGTACAACGGGATATTCCTGTATTTATTTTCATCATATTTTATTAATTTATTTCCGTTTGCTTCGAGGTAAAAGGGAACAAATAAAATTCACAATTTTGGTTTTGCCTTGATGTTAGACAAATGTTTTAGATAAATGAATCGGTTTTGGATAGATTTTTGGGAGCAAAGGGTCCGGGAGGAATATGGTTTATGAGACTTACACGTGTTCAAATTACGGTTAGGTTAGGTGTAATCTATTACATAAGTATTAATTTATTAATATTATACATTTGTATATTTATCTTATTTACATTTGATACTTAAGTGGACTGTTGAATTTTTCTCACATTAAACTTATTTTTTGTGAATTGTTTGTTTCATTTAATTGTCATCTGTGATTAAAACTCATACATTCTACTTACCATACATCTCTTCATATCATACACGTATCGAAGCGAGTTCATTTACCTTATGTATTAAGTAAAAATATATATATGCAGTGCGCACATGAAGCATAAATATTATAATTTTAGCATATTCTCATATCTTAAATCAAGAGGACACAGATATTTTTGTAAAAATCCAGATATTAAGTTTTCGTCGACATTTCATTAGACTCGATCACTAATATCAAATACAGTGCATTTACCGATGTGACTGCAGATTTGTTGACGTCATGGAGAGACCAAAGTCGATTTTTGTCGCTTTAAGGAGTTTACTATATCTTTAGTTCAGTAAGGTTATATATCGCATTGACAGATGTCTCCCTGAGTCGAGCCGTGAACCGCCTCATTCGCGCTGACGAAGCGTTGTTCCAGACCACGCCCGAGAAACGCAGAAAGAAGATATAAATAAGATTTGAAATGGCTTTTTAATTATTTAAGTTTTTTTTTGTAATTGATAGTTCGTTTTACCGTTTTCGAAATTTACTAGAATTTCATAGTGAAGTTCTTATTCGTAGATCTGATACGAGTAAAGCATACTCCCGTAACTTTGATAAGTAATGAGATCGTATTGAAGATTTTATCTAAACATTAATTTACATTTTAGCTTTACACTCGGTTTTCAGCACATACCTTTTACAGGGCGAAAGTTCGCTAGTGCGTTACCGGCCTTGTAAGACTTGTTTAACACTCTATTCATAAAAAAAATAATTTCTTATGTGAGCGATATATAATAAAAATATGGTGTATATTCAAGGAATACCTGATAAAAATAAAGAAATCCTTATTTCAAGAAGTTGAAAAACTTTATTATGAAAATAAGTACTTTTGGCTAAATAAGACAGTAAAGTCATTTTAGTGTAGAAAGCAGGAAATGTAAATGTACGAAAGGTTTTATCTTGTATGAGGCATTCATTGATTAAAGTCATATATATATATATATATATGTCTGTCATATTGCACTTAGTATCTTAGTTTTAAATCGATATGTGATTTTTTAATATAAATAAATCGACTATAAAATTAGATGTTGCTGTTTCTTTCTTCCCTTTACTCCATGAAGGTGCTTCAGTATTATTGATATTGGTCAAACGAAGAGTGTTTTGTCGCGCCTGTTATTGGACGAGGAATGCCGTACAAAAATACACATTGATCGTGGTTACTCGTTAATTTGGCCTATATCTAAATAATATTGGTATGACTTTCATTGTCAATATACGGAAATCAGGAAATGAATACCTATAAAAAATTAGAAGAAATAAAATAATACACTTACTCTCGCGTCCATCCGTTAATCGTTTCTTAATCGTTTTGCAAAACATTTACCCATTACTTAGTGGAAAATTTCTCGGCAACAGAGGGGTGTGTCTATCGGTTTTTCCGTAACGACCACAGTACAACTGAAGATAGCGACTAACGATTCGAACGCGACACGCAAATTGATTGTAAGTATTATATATAGTAAAGCAAGTTTAATTTTATAGAATTTAGATAAAAAGTAGTGCATACTGAATAACAATAAAGTACCTTTGTATGTACCATTTGCTACTATGTCTACTGCCTAAATGAATAGTAATGTGTGCTTATTTATTGATATTTAAGATTTTTATTTGAGGGTCTTATTCTTATACCTAAATGTTATCGTAGTATCTCTTAACTTTAATTTAAAACATCAGTCTAACTTAAAGATGCCTAGAATATTTTTATTTACAGATAAATCGTCACATCTGGAAAACTTTGTAAAAGGAAATTGTGACACCGTTTAATTGTGTTAAAATAAAACTGAATTGTCCCAAGACATAAACAGATTTTATTAGGCCTATAAAACCACCCTGTACTGTGTTATATGGTTTCAAATTAGATGGCGCAAGGGGAAACCATGGAGTGTGGTTGCAATGGAGCCGCGTGAATTCCATGTCAATATTCCTCTTCATTTCGCCAATGAATCGAGCTTACGATGTATGTAAAGACGATTCAAGTTTTTAGTTGACAAAAACATCGCTCGCACATGCGCAGCATCAGCCTATGTGCTCACCAACGGATAGAAACCAGTAATTTAGGGAAGACAAGAGTCGATGGGATCAAACGATACTTTAATAAGTAATAATTAGTTATGTATCTCTAGTAAATTAATTTTGAAAAGTTATTGAGTTAGGTCATGCTAGGAATGAAACACTGGATAGTAGTGCAAAATATATTAAAAAGCCACCAGATTTATGTCATTACACGATATGTATTTATTCAGGGAAAAGAATATTTGGGAACTAAACAGTAAGTATTACCTACATCCTAAGTAGGTGCATATAAGTAGTACTTGCTGGCTTGTGTCCGAAGTGAGTGCATCTTTATATTATGATCTCTCATCTCGCGTTATCTACACAGTCGATAGATTGACGCATCACTATCGTCAGATTGGCGATCCCTCAGTACGAAACGTTGGCCGAAAGAAGCGGATGCAGGCTTACGATTTTCCTCCCCTTTCCCGCCAAAGGGCAAATTCAAATTCTAACCGCCTCTGCTCCATTCATTGACGGAACTCGATAATAATAATTTCTTTTGAAGGTTGATAAATGATAATTTTCGTTTTGTGCTTAAAACGCGGTGAAAGTTTTGTGTAAGTGCCACTCAGGATGTATGGCTGGTTGATGGTAAGTTAATAATTTGTTTGAATTTTGAGCGAATTATTTTTTTAATTGTGTAATTTTTTCGCGCCTATAGATTTGTTCAATAGGTATAGAATATACATTTAAACTAATATTTTACGATCAAAAGCTTAATCTATACTTAATAAAAACTTTACCATGAAAAATAAGTATAGCTAAGCAAAAAGTGTAAAGCCAGATCCACTAGGACATATAGGTTCAAGTACGTACATTACGTAAGTACATACGATTTATGTTAAAAGCACGTATATTAATCATAAGTTTTTTAGTTTGAATGGGGATAAAAATAATGCAAGCTCGAATTGAAACATCTGATGGATGAAATCTGGTCGGCGTTTAAATGAAGTCATCGCCGTATCGAAGAAAAGCTGAAGTTTAGGCTAAATAAAGATATGGGTATAATTTCTACATTGCCGAAATAATCCAGGCTTAGGCAGGCTACGGATATTCAGGTGACGAGATATTTCTTAGCCTATTCATAATAAAATATTTATCATGGACGGAACTATACATTTTAATGAGGTATAGTAAAAATGTATAAATATGATTCCTATGACATACTCTAGAAGTTAATTTTAGTCCAATTTGTGCGCTGAGGAAGGAGTGAAACAAAACAGTTTGCGGTATCCTTTTTTTCCCTTCGACCAATAATTCACCATTCGACGTCACGTGTACAACCTACATGGTATTATACTGATAATTTTTTGAAAATTTTCTCTGGTAGTTGCTTCAAGAAAAGTGTTAAGTAGTTGTTTTATTCATTATGAAATTCTTATTTGTTAACTGTACATTTCGTCTCATGGTCAATTCTATTGGCCGACATTTGGGTCGGAAAATAATCCCCGAATACCACACGAGCTTCAAAATTCACGAAAATGAAATGAAAAACTTGACTCCTTCATTTGTTTGCAACGAACCTATCGGGAAATACCCGATAATTTTGAAGCTCTTGTGGTATTATAAGTGATAATTTGGAAGGTAGCAACAAGGTCCCTATTGAGTTGATTAATGATCACTCTAATACGTAGATCTAATACTTTGGGAAGTCAAATCTCTTTTTTATGATGTATGAATGACAGCAAAGATCTAGTGAAAGAAGATCTATCCTTACGCTTATTTCAAAATACTTTACATAATTCATGACAAAAGGAGAAGGTTACAACCATTCAACATTCTTCCCCACAGAGTTTAATAATAAATAAATAAAAACTGAAAAATATATATAATGCGACAAGGATTTCTAATTCAAGTATTTGTACGTTGTAGGCAGTTATTTTTTTTTGAAATCTAGTTATTAATTCCAATAATTGTGACCCCGATCATAAACAAACCAAAAAAAAATGAAATAAAGAAAAGATCGCCGAGGATTTGTCCATTCACAATCTAGGACTTCTTCATAAAAAATTATGTCACAATTTAGGAGTCTATAAAATCTATTTGGATAACGTCCAAGTTTTTGGACCGAGTATATGTTTGGGAGTATTCAACACTAGCCGGTGCACGCAATTCACGTTTAATCCAGGACAAAAAAATTTACAATTTATTTTGAAGCATACTATGTTTATTTCTAATTTTAATGTTATTAGTTGTGCCTGTAAACTTACAAAAAATCAGGCTTTATTTAACAATTTTAGATAAGTAATAGTTTTAATAAATAGGTATTCTATTTTTATTGATAAATGTAATTACACTAAGTTTACGGAGATCATACCTATGTATTAAATAAAAAAATCAAGTGAATCCGTTACATAAAGCGAGTTTAATTAATAAATTAATTAGTAATGTTGAGTTGTAGCAATATCTGATATATGGGTAACGTATATAAAATACTAATTGCGTTTTGAATGAATTATGTCTATGTTGACATTATTAAAACATAGTCTAGTCGATGTAACGATACGTTATTTTAAAACTAATAGAATAATCGTATGGTAAATAATAGATCGCTATCTATGTAGATATAAAATAATAATTGTATCTCTTTACACACAGGGTGTATATTCTAGAAATGTCCTTATATGTATATATATTATATAGTCAATATATATAGTCAATGTGAATGGACAACTGTCTAAGGAATTGGTTATGCTAAAAATTTATCTGAAATTGTATTGGAAAAAACACCTTTTCTATGGGAATCAAGGTTTATAATAATGAACCAAATATTTTTTTTAAAATCGACCCTACAACTTTTGAAAAAAATATATACAGGGCCTCCCAAAGTTATGGGACATGAATGGAAAGTACCTAAAATATCGTAGATAGGAGTATTTTACTGAAATAAGACTTTATGTTATTTTAAGAAGTTAGTATATCTGCATTCAAAGATTTTCTAAAAATTATTTGCCTCGTCAGGGAATCGAACCGACTTAAATGTTAAAAAAATAACACCCCTACTTTTATGATGCCAATCGAAAGAATGGCCAAAACTAATAACTCTTCTTAAGTAACATAGTATTTTAAAAGAAAGGAAAAGCGTGAAATTAATCATTTTAATCAAATTAAAATCATACATGATATTATTACGCTGAATTCTACTCTTTTTAAATGTGGTTAATTCATAAATGTGAATGAAAATCCATCTTATATTATTTATAAGCATGAATATAGAATTACCAATAACAAGAGAATACCTATTTGCCTTCACTTAACAGAAAGTAATTGAAAAAAGCCAATAAGGGAGCTAGATAATAATCCATTCTTTCTTTGCCTGAGGTGTCAAATAAAACTCTATTAAATAGCATA